GGAAATAAAACCTGAATGGCCAGTCAGAGTGATCTCTCTCACCGACATGCTCCGCCGCCGATTCAACATGCTCAATCGGCCGAAAAGCCACCAACGCTGAAGTGCTGATGGTGTGGGACACACAGTAAAAACTAGGCCGACAGACACTCACCGACGGCCCGACTTTGGTCGACGGCCGACCGTCGGCTTGGTGTGTCAGGGCCATAAGGCAGTGACTTTGGGTGTCAGAAACCAACAAATTAAAGGGGTCCTTAAACGTCGGCATGATACGCAAGTAAAATGCGGTGGGACAAGGACAAAAGTTAAGGCAGCGAAAGTCTGAGGTGGGTGGGAGCGGTGGTGGATGGGTCCAACAAACACAGACTTTCACCTGAGAGAGTGGTGTTTGTGTCCCATAAGATAAGATCTAAAGCCAAGCCCTGTTCTTTTTCCTAAACCTAACCACGTGCTTCTGTTGCCTAAACCCAAACATGTGTGTTTGTTGTTGAATAAAAAAAAAGAGACTGTATGTAAACGCTGAATTTCCTGTGAAAACAGGAGTGTATTTTGAAAGACGATGCTTATAACAGGCAGAACTTGACACGTCGTCCCAGAATGTCAACAACCAACGCACCCAGGGTACCTTGGATGTCATATGTGGACGTGGAAATTCCATGACCGAATATCAATATGTGACAAAGTTGGAGTGAGAATGTGTTGGTGAGGTTTACAGATTACAACCAGCTGAAACTTCTCCTGGTTAGAATCTCTTCAATGTTTGCTGTTCAGGAGGTTTTTACCTGGAGCCGAATTCTCCACGGAGGTCTCTTCCTCTCCATTACAAACAGACTAGTTTATTAAAACCAGTAGAAACACTGAATAAAGCAATTTCATGTTACAAATTATTGTTTCCTTCCTTCAGGAGTTTTTTTACTGACAGCTGAATCACCCACAGAGGTCTCTTTCTCTCCGAAACAAACAGAACCAGTAGTTTAAACTTGTGAAAACACTGAATAAAGCAGTTAAATCTTAATAAAAATTCTGCATTTTTCCAATATTCTTGTTGTGAGGGGGCTGCTAACTACGGTTGCTGATGCAAAAACGTGACCCTATCTAGAGCCAGTGTTTTGTTTGTCCGTTCTGGGCTACTGTAGAAACATGGTGGTGCAACATGGTGATCTCCATGGACAAGGACCTGCTCCCTATGTAGATGTAAACAGCTTATTCTAAGGTAACAAAAACTCAATTGTTATTTTTAGGATATTATACACTAAAGAAAACATACTCATAATGTTACATCCCATTTCTGCCAATATATCCCCTAAATCCTGCACATTGGACCTTAAGTTCTGCTGCAGTTGAGAGCTCCACCACTGCTGAACCAGTCTTCAGCTTAATTAATTACTCACCAGGTTCTGGTGTAGCATTACACACTAAAGCTGGGATCCTGTGTTACCTTAACATTGTGTAAAACATTTTTAAAAAGCCAATGTGGTTAATATTTAATAATAATATTCATCATCAGTAATGGCTTTGTATCATTAACGAGTTGCCCTTTTACACAAGTGAATGTTTTTAAGGCAATATTGTGTCTGCAATTAAAACCATGAATGAATACACAAATACGTGTTGAACCAAGCATTTTGAAATTCCTTTTCACCTAACAAATTAAAGCATATTTAAATGTGATCAGCTCATTTTCTCAAGGGATCATTCATTAAGGCAATGTGAGAGAGTTGATTTAAGGTTTCAGATGTCTTCACATGATGAGTATTTTTAATAATAATCACTATTTTACTTTAATTTAATTGTACTTTACTTGCAGAAAGGTTTCAGTATCTCCCCTCAGAGACACTTAAATGCTCGAATCAAATTCTTTTAGTTACTAGTGTCGAGTGAGTTGCCACAGATCAGGAGGAAGCTCAGTGGCTTGCATCGCTCTCCACAAGGTCTTCACAACTTCCTTTGTGTGTGTGTGTGTGTGTGTGTGTGTGTGTGTTTGAGATACATTTACACAGTTGCATGTCAAAAGGTGCTGCTGAGCAGTGTACCCTCTCTTAAACAGATGTAGCACAAAGTGTTGGTGAGATCCTTGTCAAACTAAAAATACCCTTCATATGCAGAGGCTTGGCAGCTGCCTCACAGATTGCTGTCATCATCAGATGCTGTATGTTCATAGATAAACACAACAGGAGAGCCTGTAACTTCAGGGCCACAAGGTGACAGTATGAGAAAAATAAAGTGTTTCTGAACATTGAAGCATGTAAACATGTTATAATAGAACTCTAAACTACAAGTGTGAACCTTTAAGAAAGCACAATATGGGACCTTTAATGAGTTTGTAGTGATTCAGTCTCTCTCTTTTGCTTTAAGTAGATAATAAACTTGTAAGTTCCACACTACATTCATTTAAACTAAAAGTATATGAAAAACGTTTCAGATAGTGCAAACATTACCACAGTTTGCAATGAAATTATGAGGCAGCTGTGTGGTGATGACAAACTGAAAGCAAAACGTACCACTTCCACACAGAAGGAGCAGTAGTTGATGGCCTCTGTCTTGATGTAGATGTTCATGAGGGGACTGGCTTTCCCACAGCTGTCGCAGGGGCCAAAAGTGGCCGCCACAAACGTCTGGTCACACATGGCTGCAGATGCTCACCAACACGCCCTGTGGAGAACACAGACACAAACATAAAGAGTCATTCAATCAGCTCGACTACAGGTCGGAGATACTTTGGTTTATTTGATTTGTGTACTGGGCTGACTACTTGGCCTGTGTGTGTTTCTGTGTGTGTATGTGTGTGTGTGTGTGTGTGTGTGGGCCAGGAGATAAGTAGTTGGTAATCTACTGCAGACTGATCCTTCTCTGAGCGCCAGAGGAAAGGAGTGCAGCACGGCTATTCTGGGAACTAAACACATCCAGGACACACACTGGAGTGTAACACAGTGCAAATCAAATTACACTTTAATACGAGCTTTCACATCACAGATCCTCATTTCATCCCTGCTGTACATGCACTGTAAAAATCCAGAAATTCAAACCTTTACGAGAAATTGAAGTTCATTGTTGTTACATTATAACTGGTATTATACAGTGTACAAAATGTATATATGATACAATAAAATGTGATATTATGATGTTATATTAGCCATTTGGACGCCCAAAACTCAGTTCATCATAAGCGAACTTGTCACTACTGTTAAAAGTAATCATATTTTTTGTACAACATGTACAGAACATTCCTGAGCAGAAACTGGACAGATTACCCACTGCCAAACTGCATCCAGACTAATTTATAACAAGTTATAAAGTCTACAATCTCTAGTCACATCTAAACAACAGACTCCACAGGTTGAACCCACAGGCTAACACAAAAACACTAACATCAGTTTGTAAAAACATAGCAGCCGTACAAATGATGAAGTCTCACCTCACAAGAGAATGTTTTCCCCTCTGTACAGCAGGTACTTGTCCCTGGAGAACTAAGTTGAGTTTTTCCAGTGAAGAGGATTGTCAGAGAGGGAACAGTAAGCTTCTTAGTGAAGTGTTTAAGCTGCGACTCTGCTCTCTGCATTACCTGTGCGGCCTGGAGAAGTTACTTTCACAGTCTAATCCAGCGCACATTATAGAGTTAATATTTTTTAAAATCACTTTTTTAAATGCATGCAGTGTAGCCAAACCCAACCCTTTTCCCACTGAATTTTAGATATTCATATTTTAAATATTATTATATTATAATAATTTTTATTTATTTTATGTCATTATTCCTGATATATTAATTTTAAATATTATAGCCCTTACACTGTATTTATTTGGATAAATCTTTTGAAAGCCATATTTACTGTTATTACGTTTTAAAATATATATAATCTGTCATGTGTAAATTGTTAAGGATTGTTTATTTAAAATTCCACATTGCCAAGAATAAGTCTGACAAAGAAGTGCTATTCCCTTAATTATATTTTGTATAAACACAGTCAATATATATTGAATATATTGACTTAATCCCTTTGTTTTACTCATGTTGTATTGTTTATTATTCTTCACAATTGAATTTCATTCATTTTGCCTGTAATAAAAAAAATGTTAGGATGTTGAATCTAATGTAGTTGTAAAAGTACAATATTCTCTTCTGTGATGTGGTGAAGGACCAAAGATTTTAAAAAGGATGAAACGAAACGTTTTAAAAAATCTTGTACAAATTTACTGAGTGAGTTTAACCTGTCAGCTACTGGGTTCTCCTGTAATGGCGCCCTCTTGTGGACACGAGCCAGAACTACATGCAGAGCTGAAATTAAAACATGAGTACAGTATTTTTACCTCTAATTTTAAACTTAGAATTTAAATTTATTTATCCAATATATCAACCCCACTCGTTTTGATTTAATTTCATGTATTTAATTTTATGTGTATGTTTGTCTCGCCTCGTTGTACTCCGCTTATACGGGTCGGGTCTTTGCTGAGGCTGCTGCCCCCGCGACCCGGGTGTATGTTTGTATTTTTTTTTAAAGACATAATTACTGATATTAACTTTTAAGATAAATGTTTAACCTGTCTGTTCATTTCGAAAAGCCATATTTACTGGTATTAGTTCTATTCCAAATTGCCAAGAATAAAAGTCTGGTGAAGAAATACTAAATCCTTTAATTATATATATATATATACATATATATATATATATATATATTTGCATAACACACAGTCAATTTGAAATATATTTTAAATAATATCTGGTTAATTTTACTATTATTTTAAAGGTAACGTGATTGAAATTCATGCTCTACCTACTGAGCTTTTGGGCGCCCCTATACAGTCCATTAAAATAAATAAATAAAGCAAGCTTCCAAGACAGGATTGAAAAAAAAAAAAAAAAGCAAATATAGCGAGGTGAAACGCCAAAGAAGAGTGAATCGCGGGTTGGCTTTGACTTTGATTTGTGAGTGTGTTTACAGCACTAACCCAAAGTTGCTGCACAGCTTACCTTTAAGAATGAAAAAACAATCTCCCAGAGACAATCCAACAGTGCTGAATTCTTTTATTTTACTTTTACAGATTTGACAATTTATTCCAAGTTTCTTAGTTTCTTAACGGTGAACACATTCACTAAGCACAGCTACCAGAAACTACAAACAGTCCAGTTTGTCAAATGTACACATGGGTCAGAGAGGAAACATTTGGTACTGGCGTCAGCATGTTCACACCAGTACCACAACAGCTGAGGGTGATGATATATCTTCTGTTTTGAACAATTTCTTTAAATGGCACAATCAACGCTAGTGCTGATAAGAACAATGGTCATTTATAATGTCTACGTCGTATCATACAACCAACTCTCTCCTTAATGTAAAAACGCAGAGTGAAGGAATGACACTTTCTCCTGTGTGAGAGCCCAAGAGAAGCCCAGGGGAACAAGACGCAGCGGCTCTGCTCAACAATACCAACCATTAATGAACGTTTTCTCCTTTAAAACTAGGCCAGCCTTCACACTCTCCATCCATCAGTGTGAGAAGGCTGCTGCTGCTGAATCCATGAAAGTTATCGGTCTTCTTATTTGTGTCTTGCATTAATTGATAGTTTTAATAAAACAGCGAGAAAAATCACTGAGTGAGGCGCCCCACACACACAGGGAATGTGGTGGAGGAAGTTTGATGGGCTGCAGTTCAGTAAAAAGGGGGCAGAAGCTAAAGGGAAGAAGTGTTTCTCATCCATCTATCTTTCATCTGACTTCCTCAGAAATGTCTAAAAAGTGCATTTGGACTGATGGCTAACAGTGCAACCCATCTGTGACACCAACTGCAAGACAAAAGGACACCTTACCAAATTAAAAATAATTACATTTAACAATTTATATTCATTTTACAGTGGGAAAAAAAAAATACTACGCTGACAGAACAAAACAATGCCACAATGTCGATCATGTGTTTCAGTCATTCAGATGATTCAGATAAGGCTTTGTCCAACAATGTGCAGCTAGATCATGATACACTTCATTAACAATTTGAAACATTCATATGGTTAATTATATTCCTTCATTTACCGTCCTTCTCGCCGTCACAGATATGTACTCTTTACATAAACCATAAACTACCTATGAATCCAAACGATATAACAAAAGGCAGGTTGATTAACGTGTGGTCCCGATGAGAGCTTATGGATACAGAATTATTCTCAAACACAGGTGCAACACAAAACAACTTCACATATTAACTTCTCTTTACTCCATTTACAATTTGCTTTTGTCTGTCGCTTGTTTCTGTCAGAGTGAGAGCGGCCTGCTTCATATGGCATTTCATGAGATAAAAACATTTTGATTTCACATACTGCATCTTTACTGGAGCCTCTGACATCATTTCCCCGACTCTCAGTACTGCAAAAACACTCTGATCTATGCTTCCTGGGTTGGTTGGTTTTGGACGAAACAAAACATTAAATAAAAAAAGGGTACTGAATCCAGTCTTGGTGACCATTCATAATCTCCTATTTAAATAAGCACCTTAAAAAAACGCTGTGAAAGTGAAATATCTTTGTGAAAGGGTAAGGTTGTTCGGCAAAAATAAGGTTCACATGAGGGTCAGAGGCAAATCTGGTTGACCGATAATACTAATGGCACAAAAGTAAACGGGCAAAAGTGCTAAACATGAGGCAGCGAGGACGACGTTAACACAGACATCTTGAAACAACACGGGCAGATTCCCTGACGCTTGTCCCACGACTCTTGGCTACACCTAGGTTTCTTGGTACAAACAAAAATAGCATGCTGGTTCATTTCTGGTTACTGGTAATGCTGGTAAAGCCAAGCCCATGCAGGTTAGATGAGGGCATCAGCATCAGCATCAGCAACAGCAACAGCAGCAGCAGCAGCAGCGGAGCATGCTGTACAGTTATCATACCACACTGTAGCCAGACTGACTGAATAACAGGTGTGCTGCAGAATCACCCTCAGCCTTTGAAAGCAAGTACCAAATATGTCCGCATGTCTGATCCAAAACTAGCCGTGCACCAAACAGAAAAGACAAAAATATCTTTCATGTCAGTAGCCGTAAAGTTAAACCTGTGGTGCAAGTGAGATGTGGAAACAATCACTAACAGCTCCACATATTCTGTTGTTTTTGGTAATAAAGGCCCATGTTGTGCTTTCTTGGCCACTAAACAGGAAGGCATAGGGTGGACATGTGGGAGAGGAATCATCCCCAAAGCTGCAGTTAGGCCCTGTCTCCACCAAAGTGTTTTTCCCCCTCAAGCTGAAAATGTCAGGTGCTACTAAGGAAATGCTGGGAGCGCTTGAGAGTGCTTTGGAGGCACAGCATTTTTTGGCTGAGACACTTTGGTTCTATGTGGTTGCTAAGATTCTGAATATGTGCGGAAGTAGAAACGCCAGTGCAAGGTAGAGTATTCACTCTGTATAAAGGGAGGGCTGAAACATATATATTTCTCCTCCATTGTTGTTGTTCGGCACTTGCACATGTAAGATGTGACCGATGGTCTTTGTGGTATTTGTCCCTCTGCAACTGTGGGTAAAAAGTGACAGTAATGAGCGCAGCATTTTATCCAAAGTTAAACATTTTCCAACTTTCAGCACTCAGAAATAAACTAAACATGCAGCTCTTAGTGCAGAATAGATGCTCAACGCTTTGTCACATTTCTGGTGTTTGTAGCCTAGCATCAATACACGGCACTCCCATTGTAAGAATTTCAAATATACATTGGTCTCAGGAAAAAACACTTCTGTGGACACAGTGCCTTAGTGTGGGATTAAAGCAGAAAGCACTGTTGTAAAGCTGGACAGATTTGACACAAACTCTCCCAAAACCAACTTCAGAGTAACTTTTTCTATCCATTCTGCTCAGTGGTTCATGGCTTCACGATATACATCACCTTGATACTTTAGAAAATAAACAATACTGAAATAAATAGTTCCACATTGATCATAGTAAAACAGTTTCAAAGCTCTGACTAGAGCTGTGACCAGAGAAGACGAGCCGAGAGAGGAAACTGCCAAGGAGTATAAACTCCTGATGATACAGCAGTAAGCAGAGAGTTATGTTGTGTGTGTGATTAAATCTTTATGCCAGTGTTTGTTGTGACGCTCAGCTCTGGTCACAGCTGTAAACAATATAGATCGCAGCAGGTCAAACCCTTGACAGAGCTTAAACCTCACACCTTCTAAATCTCTCCTCAGTTAAACCCGTGCTACACTTCATCTGCCAGAAATGCAGGATAAACACAATAAAGCTCGTTAAGTTAAGACGTGACCTAACAAATAATCATCTGCGCCAGCTCTCCTTTAACTAGACTACATCATTTACCTGATATCGACATAAATAGCCTAAGACTCCTTACAAAGCTGTTTATCCTGGGAAATGATGGTCCCATCCTTCATATGTCAGACACATTTTTCTGCAGGGAGAAAGCTTCTACTCTAAAAAGGGAAGGTGGGGACGGAGGTGAATGCAATAAATAAAATACATGATATATATTATTCATATTTATATATGTATAAATAATATAGTACAGACAATGATTTCTGTCTTGGCTTGACTGTGTTCAGAGAGTAAAATGACGACATACAGAACAAAGCCTGGTCCAGGTGGAGAGAGCTAACGTTAGCGCGGTATCACTCAGCTGGCTTCGTACTGGGACTCAGAGACCTAACATACCAAGACTACGACTTATCGAGTTGTTCCTCTGTATGAGGCCTCGACACCTCCTTTTGGGCCCGCTCCCGTGTATAGGTACATACATTCTCACCGGAGAACGAGACGATGACAAGAACTATCTTAACAGCTAGTTGGGACACAGAGGAGGGGGCCGGGGTAAACAGGGTCAAGACCACTAAGACAGACCCCGGTATCGAAGGAGATTGGAGGCGTTGATCTGGTCCTGTGGCTTCTCTAAGAGGCAGGCGTTTATACAAGCAGTGGATGGACGAGGGCGCTTTACAGCCAGATTTAAACCAGCGGCGGCGACTGTATGTGTCGTGTATTATTGTGCATTTTGTAAGAGAGAAAGTGCACGTGAGTGTAGGCGTGCATGTGTGTGTTCAGAGGATGTAAGTATTGTACAGATGCATGTTGAAAGTTCAGCATGTGGTGGGATTTGTGTGTTCAATTTTGCATTTAAGAGAACTGGAAACCATGTTTTGAAGCTCTTTGCGCCTTCTCAGACAATTTTTTAGACATAATTGCTCAAATTGTGTGAATACAAATCCTAATTTTGGAGTGTTTGTGACGCTCTAAATATTTTTATTTCTCTTGTGATGGTTGTATATGGCTAAAAGTCTTTTTGGGCCAGTGAGTGTCATGTGACTTGCAATTCCAACTGTGGCCACTATGTCAGAATTGCAGCAGGGCTCAGAGCTGTCCTGTGGGGGGCCTCAGTTTAGACACGGGTAAGGAAAGCAAGGTTGAGCGAGCCTGGGATCTGGATGGTTTCCAGGGCGAGGGAGGAAGGGTTGAATGGGAAGGTAACCGGGTAAATCATCTTCGTGTCCATCAGTAACTGGGGACTCTCACACCGGTCTCGCAAACGAGTCTGAAAGGAAAAACAAGAAATGGAAAGAATTAATATGCAGTCAAACTTCATTTGCAGAAAAGAAAATCAATTTTAGAAGACAGTCAACACCTAGTAAGGTTTCAGTTTTTTAAAGGACTGTACCTGTGCTTTTGAACATTTAAGTGCTTTGCTGATAGATTTTTTCCCATCAACCAGACAGTCACTGTTTTGCCTTTCATTTAAGTTAAAATGTGTGTAATTTTCTACATTCAATCTGATGGCATAAACTGTTGTTTGGAAACCGGTATGTGCTTGGTAGGTAGAAAAGTACATTGGTACAAAATCTTATTCTTTTTTTCTACCTTCTGTCGACCTGATTGGACTGTTTGGACCTTGATTAAAAACATACAATATATAAAACACTATGATCTGTTAAGAAAATGGTGGTAAGTGTAGAAAAGGTTCATCAATGTTGTAGCAAGTGGCTCAAGACATGCAAATAAATGGCTACAGCATTAAAAATGAACAGTCTTGCTCCAGTGGCACACTGCCTATGTGAGCAGTGCATGACAGTTACCTCGCTGAATTGCTGCAGCTTGCATGCATGCAGTGTTCACAAATGATAGCGTTGCTGCTGCGGCGCTGCTGCAGTAAATACTGTATTTCCACCATTAAAACTTGGTACTCCACTCATTTATGGGGCTGTGCAAGTCACTGCTTTGTCAACAACATGTTTCTAGAAATATTTCACAATAAAAAGCCTTGTGTTAATGAATGAAGCTATTCTGTCATCAGAAACGTTGTCAGATAGCTTTTATTTTAAAACGCAAACAGGTAAGGTTGAGTTAAAAAGAAATATTGATACTGTTTCATGACGGATATAGACATTAAAAATGCAGTGAAAGCTTGTGTGATGTCAATCTGATCATTAAAAGACTAGTTTTACTGTCTATTTCTGCTGAAAACCATGTGCATCACACAGAAAAATAGGTGACACTCCTATTTTCTATATGTTCTGCAGCTGAGCAGCAGCCACACCGCGTCTGAGCAGCGCTGCTCACGCGGGAAGTGTGGCTGCTCTGACCTGTTGACTCGGACATTGGAAAAAAAAAAAAAAAAAAAAAAAATGACGTTCTGCCACACACTGCTCATGCATCATGTGACCTGGGCGTTAAAGTGCTGTCAATTTGCCAACTGGAGGTTGAAGTCACTCACTATCAAATTTAAATTACCAGCACTTGATTCTATTTGTGCTATAGTTTGGAAAGTGTTTTCAGGTGGCTTTCCAGGAGCATTCATTTCCTTTATGTTAATATTGTAGATACATAAAAAGTATGTCCAGTGATGTATTCATTTGGAGTACATTACCTGTATGGTTCGTATGAATGCAACCGACACTCTCTCCTCAAACTCGTTGACTGGAGTGTAGAGGTTCAGGACCTTCACAATCTGAAAGAGACATAACACAGAAACATTCTTTTAACATTGAACACATCTCACCCACAGTGGCTGGTTCTTCTTAGATTTAAATCAGACTGTGGTTGGATGCAAATGAATTAAAAAGCTGGTCTGGTTTCTTTGAATGTGGTGTCATGAATGACAGGAAAGTTTACCTGAGCAGTGGTGAGGGCCTGGCACATGGAGCAGATGGCCTCAGCGTCCTCGTCAGTCTTTTTCTTCACCTGCAGCAGCTGAGCGGCCTGGATCAGAGGCTCCAGAGTTTCCTTGGCTCCACATATCATCAGACCTTTGTCTCTGAGCCACTCCTCCAGCTGGCTCACATTGTACCTGCACACACACACAAACAAACATCACAAGTTAAAGTGGTTACAACAAAAACACAGGCTAAAAATACAAGAAGCAAACCAGCCACACTCTCCTACCTGATCTGCATGCCTTTGCTCCAGGAGCACATGTCCTTGCGTAGCAGCAGGTTGTTGAGGGTGACGGCTCCGATGATGTAGAACTGCTGCTTCACCACCTGCTTGATGAGCTCGGGATCGGTGCCGTGCTGGCACATGGTGGAGTGGAAGGCGCTGAGCTGCCGCAGGATGGAGTCCAGGGTGTAGGTGCCCTCGTCAGCGATACTGGACGTCCGCTTACGGAGACCTGTGGGCTTCACCCCCGACACGCCCTGGATGGTCTCGTGTTCCAGCATGCCAGAGACTGCAGGGAGGACACACACGTTTATTAAGTACTTGTATCATGAACATAAGTAAACACAAACAACACTCAGCAGCATGAGCTTGTATGAACGCACACACCTATCATGGGCTGGAGGATGTTCTCCATGCATTTGATCAGCTGCTGGTAGATCTGGATGGCCAGGTCACTGATCACCTGCCTGTACTCTGCCAGGTCGAAGTTGGACAGACAGTGTTCATTCTGCCTCGACGTGTTGTGCTTCATGAAGGCCTGAGACACACGGACACACGAAGATACAAGTTAAAAAAATTAAAAACAAAATAATTTGTACACGTGGAAGGACAGGAAATATTTGTCTATTTATCTGTCAGTTTATATTTTGGAGTTATTGTGGGCTTTCTGTTTATCATTCTGGCTTTGGAGGCCTGATGTCTTATTTGCTTCCATTTCTGCAGTATTAGTTGGTCTAGCTCTGTTAATCATTTTCTTGTAAATAAATGTCATTGATTGTTACACTTAAAAGTGTTTCAGCAGCGTTTCTTGTCATTTTGGGTCCCCTAGACATTAAGTTAATGTTGTAGCAATCCCCAGCAACTCTATTAAAACTTTAAAACTTTCAGCACTATTACTCTAACACCATAAGCAATCAAAACAATATTGATTTATTTATTTTACAAACAATTCTAATAACAATCTCCAGTTAATTAGATCTTTTACATTTTCTGCCCAAAGGTCGGCAGATTTTTTCCAAGAAGAAACAAAAACACAAAGACCAATAACTGAACTGCCTCATAAGTCAGGAAGGACAAATCCTATTTTTTGAATCTGCACATATCTGAGTGAGACGGTTTCTGTGCTTGTGTGCGATGTGTCAGTCTCACCTCGTCTCCGCTGTATTGTTTCAGACAGTGTAAGAAGCGACAGGTGTTAGCCAGCCAGAAGGAGACCGTCTCAAAGTCGTCTCCTCGTTTCTGACAGGAAGAGGAAAAACAGACTGTAGTCAGTAAACCAGTTGGTTACAGTCACACTCGAACTCTATCAAACTCCACGAGGAAAACATCCCGAAAATTACTGAAAAAGCAGCATATAAAGGGTCGTTGAGTCAAATTACAAAAAAATCACACATAGTCTACATACCTTTAGGATCTTCTTAATACTGTTGATGGTTGACGTGAGCAGGGTGCGGACCTTCTGGTCATCGTTGACGTAGTCTGCATGTCTTAGACACATAAACAGGATGTAGGCTGGCAGACCTGGGATCAGATTCACAGCTACACCGCGAGGCTTCAGCTCTGGAGAGACAAGAGGAAGAATGAGTTCAGTGACTCCTTGAGGAGAACATTAAGAGAGAAGTTTCTGCTGTCATACAAAGCTATATTTACTACAGGTGGTTTTAGATTTCAGACTGTTAATGAAGTGTTCATTTTAACATCACCTACATTCTGGTTTATTTTAAATATATTTTACAAAAGATCCCTCAATAACCTCTTTAAAGTTTTTAGATTTTTTATGACTATTTGTTATCTAATTTTCCACCTGCTGTTACTTTCTCTTTAGTTCTTACCAAGGATCAGGTTCTTGACCAGTTTGAGCTCATCCTCCTTCTTATACTCCAGCATCCCTTGGAAATCTTTCTCCCTGCGGGGAATGTTGACAGGGTGTATCGGCTCGTCCACCATCTGTCCTGGAGACGTCTGTCCCTCCGTTTGACCCGCTGGGAGAAACACACAAGACATGACAGTCAGGCAACATCCTGTACTGTAGCACCCAAAGACATATAGTACAGACTCTGCGGCCTCTGCTGATTGATGATTCTTCCCGTACCTCCCATCTCTCCGATCCTCTTGGAGTAAACCTTCAGCTGCTTCTTGAGCTTGCGGATAGTTCGGTCCTGCTTCTCCAGCTGCTCCATTAGATCCTGATACAGGCCGAGGGTCGGAGTGATAGAAAGAGAAAGAAAAGAGAAAGACAAGAAAGAATCGTGAGGACAAATGGAAAGTCTGCTTCACACTGTCACACTCCGGTGGTAAAAAGAAACACTGCAGAGCTTTTGTAAATCAGTTGTTGGCCAAGTCTTGCAAACAAACAAACAATCAAACAAACAAACAAACAACAGGAGATCAAGACGCGAGCTGCTGTGCAGATTGTTTTTTCAGAGGAAGAGAAGTTTTAGGACTCGTTGGCTGTTAGAAACGAGAAAAAGGTGCAGAGCTGCTCCGCTGTGAGTTAGAAGACGCTGCTTTGGAGAGTTAGAGTGACACTCAGCGCTGCTTCATTCAAAACACAAAACCTCAGTTAGTTCTAACACATGCAAACACACATGCATGCCCACACACACACACGCTCTGTCTCTACATACAACCATCCGTCGTAAAATGATGACTCGAGTCTCTCGTGATGCCGTGGGGTCTTCAGCCAGGAGCTCCTGTCAGGTGACACCATCCACACAGAAATGAGTGTGTGTGTGTGTGTGTGACACTGTTTCAGGTTTTTGTACACACGGCCCGAGTGGTAATGAAACCACTGACCCAAAACGCTTGTGTATAAAAAAGCACCAACGTGTGTATGTGTGTGTTGTTGATGTAGAGCAGATTCTAGTTTGACGGCAGCAGAGTGATTTATTACCAGTCTTTATTTCTCATTCAGAAATGATGTGCTTTGGAAGCTCTGCAGAAAAACACAGCACCTCCCTTAAACCTGAAATAAGTCATTGTCATTAATATGTGATCTTCTTATTCGCCACCTGTATGAAGGACGATCATAAATAGTGATCCTGCCATATCTACACAGTCAGAGATGGTGCCCATGTCTTCACGCTCTTCAGAAATGATGATCAATTTATTGGGTCACACTGTCCTGACTGACAACGCCAGTTAAATACATCATACATTTGCATTCACGTTATTTTGTTGTTCTGACTTTTCGCTCTGCTAAACAGCTCGATATAAACAACAACAAGATGTGATGATGCAAAGCATCACTTTCTTTGCTGCAGCTGGGAGGCCATAACATGTGTAACAGATTTACAGATTTCACCTTTAAAGTAACAGTTTGACATTTTGGGAAATACAGTTACTCGCTTTCTTGTGGAGAGTTAGACGATAAAATCAATAACCACTTTTATGTCTGCACAGTAAATATGGTCTAGCAAAACTGAGCAGTTAAAAGGCAACCAGCAAAATGCCAGGAAATTTACCGCTCCCTGCCAACACAAAAGCTGCTTTCTGAATTACAAACTTTTTCCTTTTTACTTTTAGTAGGTACTGCAGCTACTCTTCAAAAGTATGTACTGTTGCATGCAGTATGCACACTGCTGGTGCTACTACTACTACGTCATAACATTGCGCCCTGAACTTTCACTCTCTTGTCCATACATCTGTCTCAATGGAGAAAATGTGATTCCCGAGCTCACCAGAGCACGTATATTGTAACTTGAAATGTCAATGTTATAAACTAAAAGCTTACATTTAACGACCTGAATGTAAAATGTATGTTTAGGTGGAGAAAAACAAAAAGGATAAAGGCTTCACAAACATTTAGCTGATTCCTACTTTGATACCTCGTTACTTGTTGTAAAATTAACATTTCATTTCTAAGCCTCAATCTTGTAATATCTTGTCTTGCTGTTGTGTGTGTGATGTTTAAATGTGCTGAAACTCTTCTTAATGTGCACCCTACATAAACCGGGGTTAAACTTGAAGTTACCACTCTTCCTCAGCCTGTGTGTATCTGTGTGTGTGTGTGTGTGTGTGTGTGTGTGTGTGTGTGTGTGTGTGTTGCAGCGTACCAGGTTCTCGTTGGTGAGTCGGGTAATCTCGTGTTGCAGACTGGCTTCGATTCGGGCCTCTGGGGGCAGCTGGAGGTTTTGGGCCAAAAGCTGCTGCTGACGGTTATTCTCCTCCTTGACATTTTGCAGCTCGCCACGCAACGACTCCACCTCGTTATCGTAACTTCTCCTCTGAGTCTGCAGCTGGTGCTCCAGTAACCTGTGATGGGGGGATCAGACCAGATTGGGAGGAAGAAAGAAGGCGGTGTGCCAAAGAGGGCAGACAGGAGATGAAAGGATGAGGTGTGCGGCAGGTGAGAGGGAATAAATGGGAGGAAGAGAGAAAAAGAAATCAGCATTATAGTGTGTACAGAAAGAACAAAAAACAGTAAGAGAACAAACACGTTCACCAGCGTGGTGACGCAGGACAGCAGCATGCTGTGCAGACACTGCCAGCAGCCCAGAGCCCAGCCTCACTGAACACTTTCCTTAATTCTGCCTGCTCATTAAGTCGAACTCACTCTGTGGTCAGAGGTCAGGCTCAGCAACGGAGCAGGTAGAACTGATACAGGTTCAGCTTCTTACTGAGAGGGAGGTAGGACCTGCCTACCAAACTGTACATGGATCTCTTCACACTAGTTTGGTAACTTCACACTCAGTCAGTTATATGAGTTAGGTGGCAATTAATTCACCAATATTTAGCAAGACTTCCACCTAATATGACCAAAGCAGCAAGAAAGTTTAATTCTCTAATAAATGGTGTAATTTGAAGAGACATCAGCAAGAAAACCAGTTGACAAATTTGGCATTGAAGGTCCTGAGTGCTCAGACTGAAATCAAATAGTTTTTGTGAACAAGGAGGTTGTTTTTCAATATCAGGAACAAAGAAGTTTGTCTCACTGTGGCTAAACTCCTTGTTCATCAGTAAGTCAGCTGTACATATATTACAGCATGAAAGCATAATGCTGTGTTCACACTGAATCAGGTAGACGGCAGACAGCACAGGGAAAAACAAACAGCCTGACGGAATAACAGGACTGTTTGTGTGACGATATGTTGTGATGTGATGCCGTACTGTTTAAAAATAATAGAATAAAATATATGAAAAAAAATAATTTTGTGTTTATCATTTTATGTATTTTCCCAGGTATTGTCCAGATCGCCCCTGTTTTCACCTTGTGTTAGGGAGCTGCGTAACATCAGCTGTATATTCTGTCGTGGAGGATGGCAAACATTTTAAATATTTTAACTTTGAATAGGAATGCCGTCTACTGTTACCTGCGCTGGTATTCTCTACCAGCCTTACCTAATTTTCCGTCCTGCTCTCATCAACTAAAATGACATTCGGTTTTCCATCTACCGTGTCCCTGATTCCATGAGGACGCAGCATAATACATTGCGAACACTCTTTGAAGCGAGCTCTGCAGTGAATATTAAAATAATATGTTTGTAACACTTACTTAACGGACTGTCATAAGTGAGCAACACAAGGTTAGTGACAGGATGAAGACAAGTTCTGCTGCACTATGTTACACAGACAATCAAACCAAAACCTTGTATAAATTACTATAACTCATGCAACATCTGTGGGAGTTTTTAAATCCTTTTTAAGAGCACACAATCCTGTGTGTGACAAAAAAAGGAATACATTTTCTGTTGAGCCAAAAATATTGAAAGTACACAATTAGGCTACATGATTCGCTAACTCTATAGCACAACACCAAACTTAATCACTGTCATCTACCGTCGTAAAGCCCATCTGATGAGTGCCAGGGCAATATTTAACATAAAGAAGGTTTATGTCTGTTAAAGAGAGAGGAACGTGTTAGTCCTAATTTTAAAATCTATGTTTTTCTGTTTTGAATTTGGCAGCAATTCAGCTCATAAATTCTTATTAGTCTAGAGGAGTGTCACAACAACCAAATCACAAGCAGTCTTAAATGTCCGAAAACTGGACAGAATTCACAGAAAGATAGATGTGAGAGAAAACTTGGTAAAGACTGGTAGAGAGAAAGAAAAGAGGCGAATGAAGAAAAACAGCAGCACACATCCTTTCCTCTGAAAAGACAAACGTATCATGCTCAAAAATGACACTGGTGTTTAAAACACAGTTACACCTGATGGTTTCCTTTAAGCCCTGATTAACCAGCCACAGCTCTCCATCCTCATTCAGCTTATGGAAGTCTGGAGCGGCAGATCTGACCGACACACAACACAAAAGGAACATGAACAACACAATAACAAAAAGAAAATGCGGAATGGTTGGGCAGGGGAGAGGTGTGCAAGACAACAAGAATATGCCTATCTATCTACATGTGTGCACATAAAAACAGTGTCCAGTTTGAAGCTATATTATCTGGAGTTTGAGACTTCTGTCTGTCTTTTGGTTGCTCTTAATTCATTTGGTTTAACTATGCAAGTGTAAACTGTTTTTACAATTAGGATTCATACTGTGATCTAAATCTATCTGTAATTTAATTACTTCCAAAACTGAAACAGTGCTGTTTAATTATGCTAATACCATGTGACTCATATTTTCTGCTTCACTGCACTGCTGACTGTGAGAGTGGGGGTGTCTGTTGTCTTAGTGTAGCCTGGTGTGCACTAAATATTCTTCACTTGCGTCAGTGTGTGAACAAAGAAGGTCACAAGCAGCACAGGGAGTAACATGGGAGTAACAGAGGGATGACAGCAGTGATGCACAGGGCAACTTTTTGGGCAACTCAGATGAGCAACAGTGTGAAGAGTTCCCTCAACACTGTTACTTTAATTAAATTGGGAAAAACGTTGTTGTTTAGAAACAGAGAAGACGTCCGCTGTTAGCTACCTGCTGTGTATTATATCAAGTGTGTATTCACTCTGACATCATGATAGCGCATGTGTGCAGCATTTTGAGACCGATGACATGAAATAATTAAAAATGGAGCAAACACTTTGACAACATGATGGGTCCTTGCAAAAATATTTCTGTGTAGAGACATTTACTTCCTTGAAAGTGCACTGTGCATCTCTGCTTCAACAAACAAAGAAAATAAGTGGGCATTCATGCAGGGTTTATGCTGAAGTCATTCCATGAAGCTGAGACGGGAGGCCTCCTACGACAGCATCCAACTATCACTGCTGAACAGTCACTGTGTGAGGAAGTCGTGTTGCATATCTATGTGTTAATAACCTACAGCTGAAGAACATATGAGCCTCTCTAGCTCAGACATTTTACATGCTTTCATGCTGCACATGTTGTAAACACCGCACTGTAGATATGTAGCTCTGTAGCATCTCCACAAACAGATCGGAGCTGTTGAAGCCACTGAAAACATCCTTGTGTCTTTGTTTTGAGGAAAAACAGAAACTCTTTTCAGTTTAAAAGACGCTGCTCTTGTTCATGCTGAACATTAAATCCCATGCAGTCCTATGAGTCCGAAACTCCAAAGCCAAACACACATTCCTTGACTTCAAACACTGCTGAAAGCAGTCTGTTAGAGCATGAGTAAAACCTGAACTGTAGCTAGAGCTGCTACATTACTCGACATGCTGTTAGGCCAGAAAACGCCACACAAAGCTACCAAAGCTGTCATCATCGACTCTATGACGTAGAGTCAGCTGTTTCAGCTTGGGTAATATCAATCATTTGTGACATTAATCAACCCGGTTTAGCATCAGCGTGGCCATGCATGCTCTGTCCCATGATGCATAGGCCACGTCTCACTGGTTACCTCAGCCTACTCAGGAGATCATTGACTTCCAACGGCTTACGCATGAACCTAGGAGATCTGCACAGGACAAGGCAGTGTTCACAAAGACATACACACATTTCTTACACAAACATCATGGTAATATTAATGGAACAAGACAGATCGGTTCCTACACATTGTCCATTTCACAATCCCTGACTTTTCCAGGCTTGTATTTCCAGACTTCTCAGTGGATTTTTCAGACCATATTTGAAACTACAGAAGGCCGCTGTAGCTGTACCCCTGATGGGGACTGCTCATTGTTCAGGCTGCCTATTTTTCTGAAGCTCTATTAGTCCAAAAACTGTACCACTAAACCGAAAGCCCATTTGTATAGCAGCCTGTTATCCTGAAAACAAACGCCTGTTGTTCTGAGGGGCTGTTTCTTAAACACAGGGGTGTCCAAACTTTTTTAAGTAGGGGCTGAATATCATAATGTGAAAATACCTGGGGGCCAGCTGCTTCTTACATACTATGAGTTATTAAAAAAAACAATCACAAACAAATTAGACAAACACACATGCTCTTGTGATGGAAAATTCTGGTATTTAAACATATTAAACCTATAATGTGTTGTATAAGGTTATACCTGTTGGTGTCTTTGAGGCCTATGTAAGCTTGTTTGAGTTCATCAGCGTCCTTCAGTTTGGACACGTCCTCAGCGAAGACAGAAGGCTCAGTCATGGTCTCCTAGAGAAAGGTGAACAAGAAAAGAGGGATAAAGGGGAGTTAACACCACATTTAAAAGAATATACTGGATGCTACAACTGTATGAACCACTTTCGTACAGTCTAGGGGTGTGAATAAAGACAAGCGAGTCAATGGTGTCATGATTGTGAGTTCACACTGCTGTGGGCAGTCAGCAACTCAGCATGTGTGCTGTTGACTCCCTGCCAGCATCACTGTAGCTGCTGGCTGCAGCTGTCCTTTCACTCACTGACAATCATCAGCCAGTTGGAGCCTCATGCTGAAACTGTGACAAGCCATCAAGCAGCCGTCTATCTACAGGGAACGTCACTTCACAGAGGTGGTGTCTTTTTCTAGCTTGCAAGAGACAAGAGGTGCTGAGCACCAGCTGATAAGTAACAGGAGTTTAAGGTCATTTGTGATCAAAATGTCTGAGCAGGGTTCATGAGACTGCTGTGTGACAGTTTGATATGAAGACTGGGCTCATTTATTAACTTGAAAGCTTGACAATAGACACCAGAATATCTGTGTGGCTGCAGTATAATGCAGCAGACAATCTGTCGCAAAGTTTATTTCTTCAGTGGGTTCCTCAACAACATAAATAATTCAACACCAAAGCCCAGCACTGTACATTAGCCCCATGATCACGCAGTGCTTTAGAGCTGCACCATTAATTGAGCATTCAAATAAATTCAAACATTATGTTCTGAATTTAAATGTTGTGCTCTGAATGCACATTTATCAAACTGAGTGCAGTCAATTACATCTGCATTTTGAAAAAAGGAGAACTAAACTTAAGTACACCTAATTTCAAAATGATTGTCATGTTATCAAAAATCTGTGCTGCAATTTCAAATTCAACATGCTGAGGGTTTTCAGGTACCTCCATCCTGAGTTTGTAAATGTATTACAGTGTTTACAAGGATAAATGCAAACTGGCTGCTGTTAAATGGCCACTGAGCAGCACTCTGACTTTTACTGACAAACAGTCCTTAAACGCATCCACACAGACAAAGGAGGAGACAGATGAGACAATTAAAATAGAGAGGACAGTTTGTAAAGCCTTTCTAAGGAATACGACAACCCCAAATGATCAATCACTCATCCTGTGTTACGTTAAATTTGTGAAGAAAACTTTTGTTTTTCCTTGCATGCACAGTGAACAAAGAATCCAAAAACAGAAAAAATTCTTCATGAATTGAAGTAACATTGGGAAGTACCAAGCATACAACAGAATAAAGGAGACTTGGATTATATTGCTATATTATTGTTGTGTGAGAATTTGTAAACAGATGTTTTGTATAGTTTTGACTTCAATTCATCAAGAATTTCTTTCTCTATTTTTGGATTCTTTGTTCACCATTGAGCAAGCGAGAAGAACATTTTCTTCACGAATTCTGAGTGAGTCATTGATAAACAGATGGATGGTCTTGGAGTGAGGTATTCCTCTGAAGTAAGAATGCTGATCTTGTATTTCCTTCTGTGGTTAAAGGTCAATGCTGCGCTCACATGCTTTTTAAGTCTGGGTTCCACATTTGACCATAATTTGGTCTCCTGTTGTGCTTCTAGTGCACGCTGCTGTCATACTTCAGAGGGAAAATTCACCCTTGAATGTTCTCATGCTGTTACTTATCTTTAATTTGATATTCAAAGACTTCCAGGAGTCTTGTTGTAACCACTTTCCCTCAGCCTGCTCTCTTTACTTAAACTGAGTTAATGGTTTTCCACATTCCCCAGAGAACTTGAATTGAAGAAAGCAATGCAATTATTCTTTTATTTTTGGGTACTGGAACTAAAACATTAAGCTAACTGTTGAGGTTATGAAATTTTTTTCTTTCTCTAAACTCTCTTTGTAACCCTCTAATTGTTCTGGAACCAAGTAGGAACTATATTTCAGCAGCTGCTAGGGAAAAATAAGAAAAACCTCCAACAGAAATACAGCTGTTTTGAGCATCTAAGGGTATATTTTAAACTATCCTAACATTTTTTCTACCAGTGGTGATGAGAGCTGCACTTGTTCCCAATGAACACGGAGCAAACTGAGCGGTCCTCATGTTTACTGTCACCGAGATTACATATACAACTGACTGCTGGATCAGATTTCTTACCTAGGGAGGTTTTACATGCAGGACAAACTGTGAAAAAAAAGTGTCAAACACTCATGCATGATGCAGGTTTTTTTTTAACTGTACCTTCTCATCCTGTGGGAAAGCATGGATGGAGGAGAGAAGGTGGAGACAGGAGTTAGACACACTGATGGTGCAGTGAAAAAAAATAGCTACATACAGTGTGAACAACAATGGGAGTTAACTATAATTTTGATCGAAATCAATGACCAGCTTGAGTTCAAATGTCAATCAAGTAATGTTTAAGTCATCTTCTGTCATTAAGATGCAAATTTTTCATTGAAAATTTTCAACAAATTTTTGATACAGTTTAAAGGTCCAGTGTGTAAGGTTTAGGGAGATTTAGTGGCATCTAGCGGTGAGGTTTGCAGACTGCAACCAGCTGAAAATTCCAGCTAAAAATGAATGAATTAAAACCATTTTCAAGTTACAAATGACCAAAATCTGTCTTTTTCCAGCTTGTTGCCGATGGGAATTTATTTATAGTGGTCGACACAAAAACACTAATAGCCCCATCTAGAGCCAGTGTTTGGTTTGTCTGTTTTGGGCTACTGTAAAAACTTTGCAGCACAACATGGTGACGGCTCATTCTGCAAACACGATTCTTGTTTTCAGGTCATTATACTAGGATGAGTATATTTATTAGATTATATTATATTCCATTTGTGCCAATATATCCTCTTAAATCCTACATACTGGAACTCTATAAGTTAAAAAGGGAGTCTTAGATTTCAGGGTGTTTTTCAAGGTGGAAATCTGAGATTAGGATCACAGGCAAAATAAAGTCATCTTTAGGCTTTCAAAGATTTGCCCCGATCCCTTTGTCTTTTTTTGGGATATTGTGCTAACAAACAGACAAACAGAGAAGCAGACACGGGTGAAAACATAATACACAAATGTAAGATGGTGGATGCAAACAAACAGGGTACCATCCACCTAAATCTCGCTTCAATTTGTGAAACAACAACAACAGTGGTCGATGTACTTTCCTTCTAGGAACACTGACAAAACAGACAGTGGAATGTTCCTCTACCTTGTGGTGCATGGCTTCCTTCTGACTGACCAGCTGGGAGCGCAGGATCAGCACCTCCTCCTTGCGGACCTCCAGCTCTTCGCAGGAGGAGTTGAGCTGCTCCAAGAGCACCTTGTAAGCAGGGGAGCCAGGGGCCCCGGCGTTTGTAGCTGCGTTACCCAGCAGGCTTTGCCTAATCTCCGCCAGGTTATGTTTCAGCTTCTTGTTTTCTGACTCCAGCTCCTGACGCTGAAAAAGTGAAAAAAGAAATCAGTGTCAGGGGGTCATAGTTAAAGACACGAGTGGCTAATGAGGCTTTCTGAAGCTATGGCATGAATTACTGTAATAAGAGAAGTTATCTGGCTTTGGGTCAAGTTATTCTCTGGAAACAGTGAGAGAGCATGTGCTAGTGTTACATTTCTATTTTACTCTTATCTGGTAACTTACTTTCAGGGACTCATACTCCAGCTCTGCCCCACGAGCCTTTTTAAACTCTGCGTCATCCTGAAACCAAAAGAAAACGTGGCGATGAATAAGGCTGAATAAGAACATGGTTTGATTAGAGAAAAGGTGAGTCAAACACACACAGTAACAGCTCTAACTGTTAGCATCACACAGCTAATGTTATCAAACGCTTAGTGACAGGTTTAACAACAGAGTCGCGCTGTGTCAATGTGAGATTGCTGGGATGGTTTAATGGCTTGCTGTTGGATGCTGGCCCCCACTGCTGTGTTAGCTCATGCTAACCAGTCAGAGACAGCAGGAGGGAGCGCACCACTATCTTGTATAGATTCTAATTCTGTGGGAAACACTGACAACACTGGCTCCCAATCTGAGATTGCATCACAACTATTTTTGCAATTTCAACTTTTTCAATTTCATTGAAACACAAGGTCTTTAAACATCATCCAGCAACCCCATTAAATCAGGCATTTCAGGCCGTTACAATCCTAAAAACCTTCCCGCGAAATCCTGGAGATAAACCTTAATACATAACTTTTAGTCTAATATTACCCAGATATTCATTACTAGTAATACCAAGTAATTATCTGGTTATTACTTTGGTAATTACATGATATTACTTATTACCTCTTCATTACCTCACTATTACTGTGTTGTACTGTAAAGTGCTACCAAATGTTTCATCATTTGTTGATAAAGTGTTATGTGTCAGAGTGTGGGGTCAGTACCCTGGCTCTAGCCCGCTGGAACTGGTCCTCTTTGTTTTCCAGCTCGTTGCGCAGCGACTGCTTTTCTTGCTCCAGTTCTGTGAGACGTTTCTGCAGCTTGAGGGTCAACGAGGTGTCGATTCCTCGTGTGACATCCTGCACGACAAAGAACTGTTAGGACAGAGCTTAAGCCCTGTGAAAAGTACTTATATAGCAATGTTTAGATTAAAAGGTCATTTTAACAGATTTTGCAACAGTAGAAACCACGTCTCTGCATTTTTCCTTTTATTAAATGAATTCTTACTTCTGCGGCACGGGAACCTTCTTCCAATTCGGCGTACTCTGAGTTGCAGGTGTACTCTGATTCGTTGCTGCTGTGGGTGGAATCTGTTCTCCTGTGGCCAGGCTTGGAGACGTTCTACAGATGAGAGAAAATAAGCCTTTAAACTTTAAAAATGACAGACTCAAGCTCTCCTTGCTGCACCTTCAGATGATAAGTTCAGCTCAGTGTTGAATATTACTAACCAGCAAATCTTAATTTTAACAAGTTGAGTGAAACTAAAATGATGTCTAATTATGTTCATAAGTAAGGTAAAACTCTCATAAGTATTGACTGTGTGTATCCATGTGTTCCTCACCGAGGAAACCATCTCTTCTTTGAGGTCGTCGTATTTCTCCTCGAGGCGAAGGTGTTCTGTCAGGAGATTCTGGTAGCGAGATCGCTCCTCGTTCAGATCTGTTTCTAGCTGCTGAGTCTCCTCTGCTATAGCACGGGCCATTTTCTCTGATGGGACAAAAGATGCAGAAGGAGAAGTCAAAAGAAAGAAGGAAACATAATGTATGTTTAAGGAGACAATAATATACTTCTGCATGACTAGATGGATGATTTATGTGGAGATGTTTGTGTACCTGTCATCTGCTGACTCTGTTCCTGAATCAACCTGTTCAAGTCGTCCTTCTCCTTCTTCAGCGAGCCATTCTGATCCTTCAGCTCCGAGACCATCTACACAAACACACACAAACATTACATGTTGTGTACAGCAGGTGACTGTCAGCATCTTTAATGTGAAATTCTCAGTGCAGTGCTCCACAACTAAATGTGACTGATCCATTTAATTTGCACTTCTATCATCTAACATGTTACTTGAACTCCTAACTCTCAAAACCAGCGCTTCTTATTTAGACAAATCTCCAGGATTATTTGAAGAGAAAAGCCAAAATACTGCTGGTAAAAACAAAGAATACACACACACACACACACACACACACACACACACACAAACACAGTTCAGTACCTCACTATCACACTACTCTATCTCCTGTGCTCACCTGACCCAAAGCAACACTGCCCCCTGAGCCCACCACGTGCCCTTCTCACACTGGTTCGCTCTGGCTCCTGAATCGGGGAAAAACTGTTTTCCTCTGGTGCCAATATCCATATTTACACAATGTGCATTTTGTGATATACATACTTCCAGGGAACTATGGGAGGAGCAATTTCTGTTGAACTTGGTTTTAAACTAATAATGGGATTTTTGACAGCCACAGTCTCACTAAGAGGTAGAGGGAAGACAGAGGAGGTTTTAAAGGGACAGTTCACCTGAAAATCAAACATGTATATTTTTCCTCTTACTTGTAGTGCTATTTATCAATCTGGATTGTTTTGGTGTGAGTTGCCGGGAGATATCTGCTGTAGAGATGTCTGCCCTCTCTCCAATATAATGGAACTAGATGGCACTCGGCAACTCACACCAGAACAATCTAGACTAATAGACAGCACTACAGGTACAATAAAAAGTATGTATTTTTGATTTTGGGGTGAACTGTCCCTGTAAAGAGAGTAAAATATCCACTTGTTTTTTTAATTCCGCTTCTGCAAAAACGTTCCTTGAAATTCAAAACCTCCAATTTACTAAAATTGTTCAAATACAGAACCGACATCTAAGGAGACATCTCCAATCCACAACAAGAACTAGGACGAAGACAAAAACATCTACTGTAGTAAAGAAGACAACACTACTATATGTGCACCATGCAGAGGGAGATGGAGGATCAGGACAACTGCAGGTTAAGTGGACATCTTACTTTCTCCATTTCGTCCCTGTAGGTTTGCGCCCAGTCTTCGATGGTCTTCTTCTCCTTCTGTGTGGAGCTCAGCTCCTTCCTCAGCTTCTCCAGCTCCTCCAGCAGCGATGTCACCTGGCTGCCTTTGTTCTTGGCATCCTCCTCCACCCCACGCAGCCGATTCAGCTCGCCACGCATCCGCTCGTTCTCTGCTGTGTATGAAGTCTCCAGACCGTTTAGCTTCTCGTGCATTGACCTGTTGTCCTTGGTCTGGAGGAACAGGACAAAGAAAAGTCAAACACACAAATTACAAGTAAGAATCAATACAAGAGGACTGAAAACAAAAATGGAGAAAACAGGGCAACTCACCTGCTCGTCGATTTTCCTCTGCAGCTGCATGATCTTGTTCTCCATGCCTTTGTTGAGCTTCTTGAAGTGCTCCACTGAGCGAGCCTCGATCTTCAGCTTCTTCAGCTCGCGTCTGGCCCTCATCCTGCGGATGCAGCACTGCAGGTAGACGATGGAGACGAGGCAGCGCTTGTACCAGCACCGAGCCAACCAGCCACGAACGCGCTTCTGAATGATCACCACCTTGTGCTCCCGCAGTAACTACAGACACACACACACACAATAAAGCAGAGGAAGAGAGAGATGAGAGCATGTGGGTATAAATATCTTCAGATTTTACTACAAGCTGAAAATTTCTTTCTGCAATATTTTCACTCAGTGTGTTTCTTCCCCATAAGTGACAGACAACGGTATTTTTTTATTGCTAGATCTTAAGCTGGATCTCAGGACTTAATAACAGAGGGAAATGTTAGGATGAATTATATATTTGGAGCATTTTGTGATGTGTGTCTTACCGCCTGGTACTTCTGCCGGGCCATGTAAGCTCTGAGGATCGTCTGCATGACCAGGGCAGCAGCCTGCTTCTGCCTGTAGCGTTTCCTCTCCACGTACATCCTCTGGTACTTCTGGATGATGGTGGCCGCCTGCGTGCGACGCATGAACTTGGCCAAGCTGAGGAGACCCAAGATACACATGTCTCAACTTACATGTAATTAACATTCTAATATAACTTTTGACCTTGCTTATTTCAGCCTTTGACTTTTTAACAGCAGTAATACTCAAACTAAATTGTTTTAACCAACACTGTCTTACAGAACAAACACAGTTTATCAAAGGGAGTCAAATGTCTTTGCATGTGATTGTTCTGGTTGAATGGCCAAAGAGAGGTGAATATCAGGTTTAGCTCACTCACCAGCGAGCCTGGTATCCTCTGGTGAACCTCTGGATGGTGATGGCAGCGCTGCGCTTGCGCAGATACTTCTTGCGTGCTAGCCAGCAGCGGATGGTTTTCTGGATGCGAATGCAGGCAGCTCGCAACTTCTCTGCTCTCAACTTCTCCAGGTACGCGACCTGGCCAGCCCTGAAGAAGATCTTGGTCTTACCAAACTGGTATTTATCGTGGTCCTGAGGGGAGACAGGAGCAGAGATCAGGAGTAAGACAGTGATTAGATGGACAAAAAGGGACAGATGCACTGTGTGGAACCTTCACTAGTGGGTTTGCACAGAGGGGGAAAGGGGCAAAACAACTTGAGTCCATTCAAGATCTTTATGCATCAGGCAATGGAAAGCTGTCATTTTTCAAGAAAAAAAAAAACAGGAAACGTAGTCCGACCTGCACCAGCATCTCCAGAACATTTCTGCAAGTCAGCTTCTTGTCAGGTAACACGTCTTTCTGCTTCATCAGCACTCTGTAACGGCTGAAGAACTCCTGGTACGTCCATCTGAGACACACACACAGAAAAACAGTTAGAGGACTGCCATGACCTAAACATCAGATACTTTACTGTTTGTTAAAGCATGTTCATTTTTACCAAAGTAAATGTGCAAACAGGGGGAAACAGGTTTGCTTTGTTTGGCTTAAAAGAAATACTCACTGACACATAATGCAGTGAATGTTTGTGGTGTCAGGTTGTAAAAAACATTCTGATATGTTCCTGTGAGGTAACTCATCCTGACTAAAATCCTAAATTAACACTTTTTCTATTCCTTTCTTTACATGATGCTCCAAAAAATCTTGTATAAACAATGTTATATGCGTCTCCAATGCGAGGAGGAGACCAGACAAAACAATATCCTCTACAGGGATAAAACTAATCAGCTGAGCAAATTGGCTAATGATAGATAATAAAGACACAGATCAAATCGATTCTGCACTGAGCTGGCTGCATTGTTGTAAGGATGTATTCACACATAATGTATGCATAGCAGGTTCTTAACTACAGGGTCAAATTTCATTTGCCTTGTGCTTAGAAACTTAAAAAAAACTTCAAGGAGACAACAAGAGAGCAGTAGCAGTGTTGCAGGGATGCATCAGTACCTGGACGGGAATCCAGCAGCAGAGATGCGGATGGTTTCCAGGACACCGCAGGCTCTGAGCTGCTGCACTGCACGTTTAGGATCAAATCTGCCAACAAAAAAGAACCAAAATCAATATGGCTGCCATAAAGTACACCTGAGCTAAGATGGTGGTCTAGAGAATATGAATACCTTTAGAGTGCATAAAAACATAAAAACAATTGTACCATACTCCCCCAGAATAACAATATAGTTGAAATATGCTGAAGAGTTTTTCATAAACAGAGAAGAGGACGACTCACGAGAAGGCCAACTTGAAGTCATTGGGTTTGATGCAACGAACGTAGTGTGGAGTGGTTGCGTTCAAAGTCTCCATCAGCATTTGCAGAGAGTTACGAAACTATACGGGAGCACAATCATCATCATCATCATCATTTCTTTTGTAGTGTAAAATGCAAAAAACAAACCAACAAAAATAATTAATAATTAAATAGAGATAATGTACTTTGATTCTATAGAGAATTAGAAATAATTGATATCCCTTATAACTCACAACAAAATTAAAGGTAACTTTGGTATTTTTTCAGTCTGGACCCTATTTTCCAACGTTTTAGTGTCTAAGTGACTAATGGGAACAACAATTTTTTAAAATTGATGCTGCAGGTGGCAGCAGTGAAACAGGCTGCAAAATAACCACTCAGGGCAACAGCAAACTGTCAGCGTACGTCAAATGAAAGTGTTTCTTTTTGCCGGTGACAGGCTCCGATTGTAATTATAGTGTCTGACAACATTATGGACAGGACAGAGAAATGAAACATTTCTTTTGCTTAATCCTGTTTGTTACTGTCTTCCTGCAGCAATTCACCTCACAAGACTTCAGAATAAGACTTCTCCTTGTGACTCTGTTAGACACAATAACAAACAGACCGCATCAAGCAAAATGTAAAGACGAAATATTTTATTTATAACAATAATCTAAGCCAGTCAGTGTCAAAAACAAGCACTTTTAGTGGACGTACAGTGACGGTTCGCTATCGGCCCTGGAGATTACATTGCAGCCTTTGCTCAATACACAATTTCAAAAATTGCTGTCCCATTAGCCACTTGAACATAAAATAAACAATACATGTTCAATGTGATCTGATATCTACCAAAATACACCGGATCTGATCTCATTAGATTGGACTGAGCCCCTGTGTTAACACCTACACTGATCATGCAGGTATGTAACTGCATCAGTCCACAGAACAAAACACTGGAGAGAGATATTAACCTGGCAGCCGACAGTCTTCTTGTGCTCCTTGCTGCTCTTATCTCGACCCTTGTCAGGTTTGATGCTGAGGCGGGTCCGGCCTCCAGTGCCGGGGACCTGACCAGTGGGGCTGGTGGCTTTCTCCTCATCCTGGAACAGCTCCACCAGCAGGTCAAACTGGGAACAGCAGCCCATTTACAGTCACCAATAGAGCAGCTAATGGCAGCATTAGACACTGCAGGTAATATTGATTTACTGAGTAATAAGCTAACCACAAAGCATTTTGCTCTGTGTGTGTGCTGCTAAATTAAGCTTCAGTGCAACTCCAATGCATATTTATGGGATCTAACAGTCTCTTCTTACAGTACATGGCATGCATATGGATTTCTCTTACCTAGTGCACACAGCCTCACGAAGCATGGCAGCTTTCATTTGAGCATTTGCCACAAGCCTTTATAGACTGACTTTAGTGTTGAAAACCACAATGTTGATGACTTCATTTTTAAATTTCTAAAGTAAACAAGTAATCTAATCTAGTTATCAAGTGTAGAGAGAGTTTGACATGACAATTCATCTCAATATTTTCACACAAAGACAGCTGACAAGCTGCTGGATAGTTTAGATGAGTGAGTAGATGTCGCTTGATTTTGTTGATTAGCGTTTGTTAAACTCATACACAGTCGGAGAGCTGTTAAAATGTTTTAAAAAGCCAATAAGAATAATGAAGGGTTATGTTTTCATATATGGCTTTATGCAGTGGCCATATATGACTGCATGGCATTATTCTGCCATGGTGATATGACATAGTAGCATAAATGATGCACACACTTATCAGTCATGTTCCATATAACACTAAGGTTATATGAGGAGGATGCTGTGTTATGTGCAGTTTCAGGTCCTCCTGCTGTGCTCACAGCGTTGCCATGCTGCTTCTCTCGCCAGCGTCATTAAGCAGGATAATCTGGACAGCCACGGCCACAAAGGCTTTACGTGCTGCTCGCTCTCTGCATCACTCTGGGAACATAAAAAAAAATCCTCCTTCCTTTGTCCCTTGTTTGTCTGTCCAATCCCCTTTTCTCTTCCCAGAGTGCTCCCCATGCAGCAAACAAAGGCACACACACACACACACACAAACACACACACACACACACACTCAACTTCAATCTCCTCAGTGCATTAGAGTGATAATAACTCAGTGCTAGAGGGAAACAGGGAAGGAGGAAAGAGAAAGAAAAAGGAGCTGAAGGAAGAGCTACAGGCAGACCAGCGTTGTGAGAACGCCTCTGTTTACCTTCTGCTGGCAGGGAAGGGTTGTCATGATGAGGACAGAACCAAACATACATGGACAACATATGGAGACACAGTGACAAAAGAAACACAATGACATTAAAAGGAAAAGAAACCCACAGCTCAAGTTCAAAATCATCATCAACCCCATCAAACACTGTAAAACACATCTGTGATTCAAACTGAAAAGCTGAAAACAAACAAACAAACAAAAAAAAACAAACAGGCAGACTGATGATGAGGCTGAAACAGATGGGATGATGATTTCTTTCCTTGAACACTTTGGGATGCATTTCCACTGTGCTCCGAGTCTGCATGAAGTATAGAATATGTCTGTAGTAAGAGGACGGCCACACAATGGAAGTCTGCTGTAACCTGGGTTGTAATGCATCATTGGAAACCTCAGCATCAGGCATTTCTCGAATGCACTGTATCGATTTGACTTGAAAGCAGACGTTGGTATGAATGCATGAGTCCTCTGGGTCTGGCAGGTCCCAGTGCAGTTTTGAGCAATGCAGGTACTGTGGAGGCATCACAAGGCTGGAATAATTAACTGCAGTTCTTGTTTTATTAAACCCAGGTTTACTTTTCATGGTTTCTGGCCAGTTGCTAAGATCTGGGATTTAAGTCACACTGCTAAAAATATGTGGCAAGATACATGAGTGGTGACTTATTTGGGTGAGAAAATAAGGCGGTAGGTAAAATGTAAAGATTCATCACAGTTTACTGACTTCCTGTTTCAACTTTGTCTCACTGTACTGTAAGTTTTCCTGTGCAATGAAAGATTGTTATCAACATTTTCAGGTGTGCTCACTTTGGGTTTAGTTGAAGCTGTTTAGAAACTCTAATTTGGCTAACTGTTTGTGTACACTCTGTATGATTGTCTCTCTGCATGTTTCTTGCCCCAGTTCGTTGCAATGATGTTGCCCTGTTCCCAGATTTCAGCAATTACTTTGGCGAGAACAATTTAATCAATGCTGCCAAGGCTACAAAAACAAAACCCAAGTTGTAATAAACCAGAATTTTCCTCCAACTGTTTCCACAGCTGAAAGGCTATCAACAGCCTGGCTTCAGAAAACTACATCATCTCCATCTTGGTCTGCATTTCATTCACTGAGATGGTATCTAGTGTGCCTTTCTGAGGAGGGGCGCTTCACTTTAAAATCTTTCTCTGTTTATCAATGGGCAATCAGAACCGCCTCCATGCCTTCTTGCGTGAATGTTCTACCTCTCGTTTTGTATTTGGCATGTTAATGTGTTACATGGTGATGCAATGACAACTGTTAGCTGCTAGATGTATACAAAATGGTTTCCCTATCATTCTCTGATTGTTGAGGGAGCGTTTAAGACAAGTGCTATGTCCAAAATAGCTCACTATGTATACACTACATACTCATTATGTGTGCTAAAGTTTGACACACTATTGTTTGAATTAACAGTAGTATGTATGTTTGCGTATGCACTGAGCTGTAATTACCATGTCACTTCCTGAGAGCCTCCTTGCAGGTTGGAGAAGTGTAACCATGGTAACCTGGGCTAAAGTCAGCTCAAACAGCAATTTAAAAATAATTAAAAATATATATTTTACACCTAGCAAAGTGACATCTTATAGTCACACTTATGCTGAAGCGTACTGACATCACAGAGCTGTCTTGGTGGCTGTACACCACTGTGTGCTATGAACGCTGTCATTACCACATTGCATTGTGGGATATTTTTACAGGCACAGGGTCCAGTGTTTGCATACTGTATTATTTCACCAGAAACAGTGAGTATTTTGCATACTATTGGTCTCATACTAAGGTATTGGACGTCTCCCATACTGTTTTAGCTTACTACATGACATGTTAGTGCGAAACTTTGGATGTAGCCAGCGTGGTGTGGTTGTGAAGGTTGAGTACCAGATGAGTAAATTACAGGTTAATAATATGTATCCTAGTGGTTTAGGTGACATTTTAGAAATGTGCTTCTCATGGTATGATCAAACAATCAGCCACACACACACACACACACACACACACACACACACACACGCTCTCACACACACAAATGATGGGATAAGCTTGGCATAGAAGTAAAACTAAAGTTAATTAGACTAAATCTCATTAAGACCGTATTACCATTTAATCCCAATTGTTTAAATCTCAGACTTCCATGGCAACATTCAGACTATACATCCATGAGTGTGTCTGAGTGTGTGTGCCTGTGTATGTTTAGTGATTGTGTTAGAGGTTAGCGCAGACAGCATTTCAACCCTTACCCAATTCTGCTCTGGTTGAAGTCTATAAGAAAACAGCCGATGGTCACTTTGAGCATTTTGGACAAACACACTTCATCGTAGCCTCTGTGTGTGTGTGTGTGTGTGTGTGTGTGTGTGTGTGTGTGTGTGTGTGCGAGCCAAACCAGCCGTGAGGATTTAAAGGCTTAGGCCCCTTTTGACCCAGCTGGGTTTTACACACCAATCCTGAACTAGGACTAAAACACATGCACACACACAACACGTGATGTTAGTTCAGACATGATCTGGACAATTTAGGTGTCATAGAACGTGCGCCTGTATGTTTGTCTATGTAGAGGGTGGTTTTCCTGTTTTTCCCAAAATGAAACAATGAGCATTTCAAAAACTGTGAAATCAACCCTTGACTAGTTAGTGATAGAAAAACAGGATAGTTGTTTCATCCCTGTTTGACAGAACTTGTAAATGTTTCTGTAAAATTCTATTTGTGTACACACTGTGCTGCTGCATACGCTGCGCCACAATTATATTCATCCTTTGTAGGTCATGTTTAGCCAATGACCTCACTGTCTGTATGTGTTTAGCTTTGTCTGTTATGTGTAAATAAAATCTAAACCTCTCTGACCATAAATCTCCTATGTTGAGCGTTTGTCATCACTTCTGGCACCAACATTACCTCCACATGGCCAGAGGAGGGCGCTGCTTCCCCGAGCCTTCATGTGGGACTTCTGGTCATTAAACAATAGTCTATTTTTCCACACAGGCCAGGTGCACCAGCTCCCCATGAGCTGCAGGCTTCTTGGCTTTGATCTCAGTAGAAGCATCATAGCGTTTTGAGTTGTTTCACTGATGTGTTCAAATGTCTCATAAATCTTGTCAAGATCTGCTTTTGACTGATCACATCTTGATTATACACGTAATGTACATGTGTGTCCACACTCCTCACCTTGCTGGCCTTAAGCACATGGATCTGTTCCTCGTTCACTGTGTCCTTGTTCTTCTCCAGGAAACCATCACACTGGTACTCCACCTGCTCGACAGCAGCAGAGCACAGTTTGCGTTAGAATCACTGTCAGGACATTTAGCTGGGCTTTATCCAGGTCTTTCATTTCTAATCAAAACTATGGTTTACCTATTCTCCCTGGCAATTTTTATTCCTAATCACATTTCTGCAGGTGTCAGCAAATAAATAAACAACAAACAAATAATCAGACCCAAAGAAGCATGTTCAGTCACACTTTCCTCATGTTTAAGATACATTTATAGTAAATGTTTCTATCTCTCACTTTTACGTCAAATTAAAGTGGCTCAGTAGCTCATACGCAGACACGAACTCCTGATACAAGTTTCTTTAAATACATCATCATCAGTCTTTGCAAATGTCTGGTCAGAAATATCTCCCAGGATCCCATTTTAATATCAGTGAACCGCATGGGAAAGCCCGCATTAGTCCTTGGCCATGTTTATCTGTAACCTTATAGTGAGGATCTAAAAACAGGCATGAAAAATAACGCTGTGTCATTCAGCACCTCACTACAGGACTATTACACTAATGTGGATTACACCCCTCAGAAACACACTCACCCTCAACATTTCATTGCAGGACTGCTTTTTTCTTTGAAAACAATGTTAACAATAAGAAAAAAAGTCATCCATCCTTGAGCCATCCTAAAAATAACTCCAGCACTGCAGCAGCCACTGCAGCCAATCTGTCCCTAACTGTTGTCTGCTGAGCACAGCTTCTGCTAAGGCCACTTAACTTCAATTCTTTCATGGCACCAAATGAACTGTTTTTATACTTTCGAGTTACTGAGAAATGCCTTGTCATTCAGTGCCAAATTTTGATACCTGAGGAGTAAATCTCAGCAGCACCAGTGAGCCAATAAGCACGCAGCATGCTTGTACCAAGATCTAATAATGCTGGTGATTGGCTGTCTAATGTTGCACATCGTAGAGACATGCAGGATAAACGCTACGTTACGCCCAGAGACGGGGCTCACATGTGTGTGTGTTGTTGTATTTTGAGAGGCTTGACTATAGTGTGTGTTGCACAAGTGTATTAATCAAAGGTGTGGCTCCATTTTATCAGGTTTGATGACTGCGGGCAATGTGATATATGCAAAAAGGACATTGTTGCTGACACCGGTAACACAACAAATTTGATGAAACACTTGAACGTGCACTGAATAAATTTACGAGCAGAAAGTTGCTCTGTGTTCAACTGCAAGAAGAAGAAGGGATTGCAGCCATCTTCCTCTCAGCATTCACGGCTGCGTCAATCACAGAGCCTCATTTAAAATCAACACCAACAGACTCACCTCATGGCACAATGATGACTGGGATTTTAGCAGGAAATTTTTAAAAAGCATAACAATTTGAGCTGGCAATTTAGCGTGCCAAGATGCCACCAAAACCAAATGTCTGTGGTGTCTGGTGGCATTTAACGAAACCAAATGCTTCCACTCACATTAAAGGTAGTGAATAATGTACAAAAGAAAATATATCAAATAAAGAAATCTATTGGTATCAGTATCACTTTAAAAGGTACTGGTATTGTAATTTCTTAAATGACACCAAGCCCTACTAAATGAGGAATAAAAGTTGGATGTCAAACTTACAAAGTAATGAATTTAACTCTCATTCGATGACAAACACTGTGTGCATATGAAGCAAACACATCGGTCAGGCCCACCTTGTCAGCAAAATGTTGGATGATGAAGGCGCGGTTGGACATGCGGGGCTTCTCAAACAGGGAGCAGGTCTTTAGATGGGTGTTGTAGAGTTTCTGAGCCCACGAATCATCCGAACCTTTTGGCATCTGGTGTGGAAAGGGAGAAGACACAGTGTCAACTATCAGTGAGAAAACATGTATGTAACCATCTGCTTATAAATACACTGAGAGAGACAAGCAACTGAACATTTCAAGAAATTTAAGGTATTGTAGAGTTATTAGATTAGTTTGCATTACATCTTACAAGTGTGTTTTTTTTCCTGGTTGCACAGCGCATGTCGGGGTGGGAATTTCTAGGTACTTTTTGATTTGATTAAGATTCAGAGGGATACGATGTGTTTATAATATGAATGTTAATGCATTAAAATTTTTGATTTCTTAATTTCTTGATTTTTGAAGATTTATTTTTTTCTCACTGTGCTCCTTTTTAAACATAGGGTACATAACATAAAACAATCAGCCATCCACACAGGATCTAAAAAGGACAGATTATAGAGATCAGGGTGGAGCACACAGAGTAGAGGCAACGAACATTAAAAGTTTTGATGTCAGATGTGTCTTCATCTGACTCTGATGAAGTTGCCTCTGGCATTGAAAAGTTCGTTGCCTCTACTCTGTGTGCTCGAATATATTTTGGACCTAATCTCTGAAGTCTTTTCTGGTATGAGATTGACTCTAAGAGCACCGGACAGGCCTGCCATTCCTTGTAAGGCGGTCAAAGCGTGCTAAGCTGTGGAAGTGTGTAGACTGTATAGATATGAGACTTGCCTTTACTTCAGATAATTCTGATATTTTATATACATTCAACCAAAGATCAGCCCAACATGACTATGAGCTGTGTGAAGCATCAAGAACATAATAAAACATGCGATCCAACTGTGAATACAACTGAAAAAAGCCTTGTTTCCTACTGTGCATGGTAGAAAGTGGTCATAGTTTCAAACAGGGTTTGAGAGTTCCTGTGGGTGAACTCTGATGTGAACTGTGAGTGTAGGTGTTGGAGACTCGGGTCTAGTGTGTGGTGGGAGGCTCTGACAGGTCCACTGTCAAAAAATGTAAAGCAGAACGTGGGTGTGAATGGATGGATGGTTCTCACTGAGAGGTTCAACCACAACCCACAGGTCTCTGCTCAGTGTGCAGCACGGACTGACTTTACTTCTGCTGCTTGTTTACATTCATGAGAAAGTTTTTATTCCACCAACAGTGTTCATAAGTCATCAAGTCTTATGTAATTTCTATTCCTAGCTCGTGTGCCACTGCAGACTCTCGTTAAAAGACAGATGAAAGATTAGAGCACTTATGATGAAGTCCATTGATTTCTGTCTCGCAAACAAATGTGCACTTTTAGGAAGAGCGCTTGAAAAGATCAGCATCAATGTTCAGCTACATCAAATAAAACAAAACTGTGACAAAGGAGAAAAATCTCATTCAATTTGTCATGTGTTGAAAACAATTCTCTCCGCATCTGAAGTGCCTTTAAATGATGGTGAATTACTGGAATAACTAAATGTAACAAACTATTTTTTTTGTTTTTGTGGACTAGTTAAAAAGTACCTTGCACTCCTCATCCAACAGGTCCAGGATGCCCATCTTGGCTTCTATGAGGTTGATGCACGGCTGATTGTCATAGAAGTCAATGAGAGTCCAGGGGATCTGCTCCCTCATGTACTCCTCCTGTTCCAGCTTGAACACATGCTGCACACACAAACACAAACACAGGGATTAAGCTGCATACTTGCATAAAACCAATTAAAAAAAACACTATTTTGTATCTGTAAATTTGATTTTCAATAAAAAAAAAAAATCATGCTGCCCACCATGTTGAACTGTTGCTGGAGTTTCTCATTAGCATAGTTGATACAGAACTGCTCAAAGCTGTTGATCTCAAATGTCTCAAACCTTAAGAGGAAGAACAGACAAGTCAGGCAGCTGGATAACATCAATTACAAGACAAACTACTTAAGTCAAATTATCAAATAAAAATTTAAGCAAACAATATCTGTTGCCCTTGTTTAACATATTTTCCATTGCTAAGAAAGCCAGTGCAAATTGCGTCACTACTGTGTTGAGCCATGGTGTACATGATAACTGTTACAATAGGTTAGATTGGCTAGTTACAGCACACACGTACCCGTATATGTCGAGGACCCCAATGAAGGAGTGCTGTTTGATAATGGTGATTAGTGCTTTGTTAACGTGCTCCACAATCCAGTTGAAGAGCTTAGCGTAAATATGTTTGGACAGAGCATCACGGGCGTTGGTGGCCTGCAGGCGGGGGAGGGTCTTGATGTACGTCTCTGTGGCCGTCTTCAGCTTCCTGTGGCACAGCCACTGAGCCATGTCCTGGTAGGTCACGCCTACCAACTCGCAGAATGCTGTTAGGTGGCGATTGTTGGGCTACAGGGAAAGAGTAGAGATTAAATCATCACTAGGGTCCAGGTGTTCAAAAACAGAATAATACAGACTTTTCAAGAATACAAAATCTGAATGACAAGTGCTCTTAATTGGACTACATATCAAAATGTAGGCTACTAGCTATGTGAAGAACAGGTAGAACATCCAGTATTAAAGTTTTTTTGTTTTTTTTTGGAAGAGAGAAAATAGCATGGGAATCCAATTAGTAGAAACTACTTTTAGCTGTGTCATTGTAATTAAAGAAGTATTTCATTGCTGGAAAGATGTTTTTTCTTGATAAAACTTTGCTATCTATGCTGTAAAAAGACGCAAATACTTCTGAAATTGGTGCTTCATGACCAGAGAAAATAAAGGAAAAGGATGGTGGCATTTGCTTTTGCTTAAGAGGTACAAAACCCACAACTACCAGAATGCACTGTGATAAATTAAAGTTCAAAATAGATAATTTTTGTTTGATATTGACAGCTTTTTTAAATTTCTTTTGCTTCACTGAACTGAAAGGCTTATTTGGTAGCTACTGTCTACTTTATCTACATTATCATACTGGTAAAACAAATCAAGTGCACAATATAAATGTAGAATGTAAATGTGTATATATATATACACATTTGACCAATTTAAAAGTTTTATTACCCTCTGTTCCTGAAATCCACCCTTCTGCTGGGATCAGGATAATCCTTATTTTTTCTGGATCAAAGGTATCCCTATCATAGTAAAAAGTTTGGAACAATACACTCGCTTTGATCCAGATCAAAACCAAGAATGGATTATGTGATTTAACTCCATTTCAGAATCCTTTCTTTTTTAAAAACGCGAAATTAAAAAAAAAATTTTTGATCCAACCTAATAACCAAAATCCAATCAGATTACTTCGGAACATCTAAGCCCAGGAGACACTCAGCAAGATGTCAGCTAAGAAAAGCCTGAACTCACTGCCTGAGGAGATATGGCTGGCTAGCACAAAAACTTTTTTTTTTTAAATCATTGCTTAAAACATAAATTTGTGAGAAAGCTTTCTATTTTAATGCCTGATTTGTACTTTTGTGTTTTATTTCCTTTTGTTCTATTTTTGCCTCTGTACACACTATTTTTCTCAGCTCTTAACATTGTATTGTTATTGTCTTACTTTCATGCACTTTGTGAAGCACTTTGTAACCTTGTTTAGATAAGTGCTTGACAAATAAAATTATTATTATTATATATTATAAAATGCAGGTTGATGGTAAACAAGTTGTGCTAATAAGCAGCCCTGACTTACAGTATCACCTCCTCACTTGATATTCCTTGGCTCTAACTGGCCCTACATAATATTTATTTTTAGATTCCTGTCTAATACAGACTATCACATAACTACAGATAAAAAGTTGTTAATATCATGCAATCTGTTTCAACTGACAATCAGTACTGCAGTATAAAAACAATCCTCACAGGAATGGCACTGCTGTCTGCATCTCTGTCCTTTATCTCCACGTTTCCCAGATGAAGAATAGCAGCCAAAACCTGGAACAACCCCATCTGATAGGACTCATTAATACCTGTGGAGGGAAAACACACACGTACATATTAGCGAGTTGTGACCCCATTGTTAACCCCTACTATACCATGCCTGTCCTTATCCTTTGTGTCTATCCCCAAATTCAAAGGGCTGGAGAGATATGACAAAATGTTTATTCTAGTTCTCTTCAACATAAATTAGACTGCTGGCTTACAATGTATACATTTTCAAGACACAGTTGAATGTGCATTTATTTAAATATGTGAGGGTGTGCATGTTACCGAGCAATGTGAAGGCATTGCGAGTGGTGGACAGCTCCTTGGTGTCGTCCACACCATCGATAACTGGGCTGCGGCCCTGCTTGGTGTACAAGAAGTCATTTGCACTGCCTGAGTGGAGAAACAGAGAGGGGGAATACATTAAGAAAAAGTGCAGTATGTGCAGTTTAACTCTGAGCAACTTGGGTACAACTGTGCTATCACAGCATCCTCCTTCATGACGCAGAGCTGCACTGGAAATTAACATAAGGAAAAATGAAGCTGTAACATTTATTTAAGAAAACATAATGTTTCTCATTAGCCAGGCGGAGCTGTGTGTTAAAATCATACACTGTGACATCAGTGCACAAGATCACCATTTTGCATATGGCTCAGGGTTCTTAGAAAAAAAGTAAAATCAAGAACACTTCTGTGTAAGAATGATGTTAGCTAAACTTTCCCACAATCAGTGTCTTTATACACACTTTACACTGAATTAAGGCATGGCCTGTTGCCTGGCAACGAGAGGCACTGACGCGACTGTGACAACAACCCCATTTACTGAGCCAGGAAGTCAGCAGGAGAGGAAAAGACAGCAGCTGTGTGTGTGTGTGTGTGTGTGTGAGTGAGTGAGTGAGTGAGTGAGTGAGTGAGTGAGAGAGAAAGAGAGAGAGAGAGAGAGAGAGAGAGAGAGAGAGAGAGAGAGAGAGAGAGAGAGAGAGAGAGAGAGAGAGCGCGCACAACCAACTGAGTGGCTGCAAGTGACAGTGCCAGCAGTGTGTGTGTATGTGTCCCATGACTAGGATGAGCAGGTGCAGGTCCACAGTGGGAGCGCTCTGTATGAGAGCCTGTTCAACCACTGAGTCAATGAGTGTGATACGTCTAAACCTATATATATAATCTGATAATCTGGCAGCGCTCTTCAGACACCTCACTGTGGTTTATCAAGGTTTTTTTGGGAAATATTTTTATATTGATTCTATTCTGGGCCGGATCAGTTTCAGTGGATGTTGTTGTTAAAAGCAGTTCTCATTTACTGCAGATTAAACTTCACTTATTTTTTGTTTGGCTGAGTCAATGATAGATTTTCAGTGTTTTCAGTTTTCCTGCTGTGAGAAGCCACTTCAGCTCAACACAATACAAGCAGTTACTCTGTGTTCACTGATGATTCAGAACGGCTGTCACTTATGTAAGTGCTCTAGGTCAGATGAAATACTGTATGTGTCTGGTTTTTAAACATGAAAATGATGAGATGATCCTGCCGGGCCAGGGAATCAGCTGATTTCTAGGTACTGTTTTTGTAATTGATCATGACTCAACTGTGGAGCTCTGTGTGTATGTGTGCGCGCACAGGTGTGTGAGACTTACTCAGCTTTAGAGTCTTGAACTCAGGCAGATGGGATGATGCGCAGAGCTGATAGAAGATATGATAATTCCTTTCCTCGTCAGCCTGGAAGAAAGCATGACATCATATAATGTAAGGTGGTGAACAACTTTCCCTCCATACATGCCACATGCCCAGACTGCTTACACATAGCGCATTAATCACTGCCGTCAGGATGAGTCTGGCGAGCGGAGCCATCCATTAGTCAGTTTCATTCTAATTTAATCAAAAAGATGTGAAATGAAATGGGTTTTCCTTCACTAGGTTCATGTGCAGAGGTCTCTTCCTCTTTATGTGAGACCAGACACTGGTGGCTAGTTATGGGTGGGAGGGCTCACAGTTCATCATAGGAGGAACGTTTATTAATAGTTGCTCACTTTGAAATATTGTTAGCATTCAAATCTTTGCTATGTTCCTGTTAGGATCAGGTTTCAGTGGGAATAGCCCTCTAATGTTTACCTAATCCCCATCCAGTGGTTTAGGCCTCATCCACATGTACACACGTAAATTTAAAGCTAGCCTTTTTTATGTGTTTTGGCCTTTTGTCCACTGCGTTTAAAGACACTGGAAATTGACCTTCTGTAAAACTCTTTCCAGGCTTAAGATTTTTTCTTTCAATGTTGACGTCACAGTATGCAGCGTTATCTCCTTTGTGAGGTGTCACAACTAAGTCGACATTTCATGGTTTGGAGGATGTGGTTAAAATACCACTGGCTCTAACCTTGGTAGCAGGACTTACATGTTTAAACACAAATGTGTACTGAGGCACAGAGGCGCAAGAATGTGCTGTGGAGGTCACTGCTCCAGCCAGTCTTCCTATAATAGCATTTTTTTCAGACTTCTGATTGGCTGACATCTTCTTTTTCTATGCTTGGTTTTAAGGTAAGGGTTATATCAACACCTGACACTGATAGCACTTCAATTGTCGTTTTGCGTTGTCATGTTTTTTAAACAGTGCATGTGTGGACAGGATTTATTTCGAGAATGAAGAAGTGAAAAACCCTGTTTTCAAATATACCCATGTACATGTAAACTAGGCATTAGTCCAATGAGGGTGGGGCCAGGAGGGGTTTAGAAAGCCACTTAGCCATTGACTGGAAGAGCTGCAACTTGCTGTGAGGCGGCATTATTTTAGTTTTTTTCAGGTTATTTGTTAAATCGCAACCCTCCACCCCACCTGCACCAGACTGTCACTCCTGACTAGACCACTCCCCCCAAAACTATAAAACCCCACCCTTCAGGCCTGTGACACTCCTTTTCCCTCCAAACATGCCAGGCAGGACACAAAGAGGACCAATGTGAGTGGTATATGGACTTTTCACGTTTAATATTTTAATGTGTTGATCCTGTGTGTATTATTGGAAGTTAAAAGATTGTTTTGTGTTTATTGTTCTAAGATTCCTGAGTTTAAACTGTTGCTTAGAAGAAAAAAGAGTAATGACAGTGGATGCATTAATGACACAAGTTCAATGATAACCTAATTTACTAATATTATTTGTTATCATTATTATTTAACACTATGCAAAGCTGTAATGTATTCTGTTAATGTTTCTTTTTATTGAAATAATCCACTTTAGAACTGTTCACCTACCATGTCTACAATAAAGTGTTCAAATGGCTCCCTGGATCCTGTGTTTAAATGTGCACCCCAACATCAGATGTTCTGTGAGCCAACATCAGCGTAATTATAAAGTTTTTTCCCTCCTTGTTAACTTTCCCGGGGGTTTTGTTCTTCTCTGTTTCATTATGATTTTTGCTTAATTAAACCACTGACTTCTGCCTCCTGTGCCATTCTTCAAGTGCCAGGCAGCCGCACTAAAATCCCTCATTTATGTAGAGTTACTACCGGTAATGCTACAGAGGGAAATGCATGATACATTGCATGAATGGATCTACACATTCTACACTTTTTTACCTACATTCATGCAAGGAAAATCACATTTCTAATGTATAATCAGATGTGCTTTATGACTATACAGTCTGACAGTTTAACATCTGGACACTCGACTGGAGCAGTTGGTGATTAAGTGCACTGCTCAAGGTCATGTCAACAGATATTACTGAGTCAGATGAGATTATTACATGTTTATGTTCTACACTCACATTTCCCCAGATGTACAGGAAATCACACACAAGATGTGGCCACCTGTGCATATATTCTCATACCCAGGAAAAGATATTACCTGACAGATCATACAGTAAATGGGCATAAATAACACAACTGGCAAATCACTGTATACAGACAGAGGTGTGGAGCTACAGATTCATTTCTAGTTAAAATAAATAACTGTAATGTTAAAAGAACATCAACAGTGTGCTGGAAAAAAAACTGTTACCTGTGTCCTACACTGGTGCTACTACAGCCACACCCATACACAGACACACACAAACACACCTATAATTGGGTGGTACTGCAGCCAAGCATGTGAGAAATGTGAGGAGGAAAGTGATCACTTCTTCAACCAACATCCTCATTCCGCAACAGTGCTTCCTAAGACAGCAGTGTGTGTGTGTGTGCAGTGCACGCATGTGTGTGTGCTCATGCACTCATGCGTAAATGTGTGTGCAGAGTTAAAATATGCTTCTTTATCTAGACACTGCCCTACTGGCTCCACCAGTAAGCAAACACACCCACTGAATATACAATAAAGTTATATATGAAAAAAGGTAAGTACACTTTATCTAGATGAAACTTGGATGCAACCCACTGAGTATGAACTTATAAGATCATTAGAGGTTTGACGTTCTTACGCTTGTTAAACATGTGCACTGATTTGGTTTCTCTGAGACTTTGTGGGGGCTGTAAAGAGAGAGAATAATATCTAGGAAGGATTAAGACAGAAAAATGGCACAGATCTTTGACACTGAGGAGAGAGAGAATGTGAAGGAAAGGAAAGGAGTGCTGTGCTGTTATCCAACGTGACAGATGGATTGTTTACTTTGTTTCCTCCCACTTGTCTTTGTGAAGAAGGAAGTTATTGCAGCATACCTCTTCTGCCCTAAAGGACATCAGGGGCAGACTGACTCTTAGTGCAGGTTGAGTCTGATGAGCAGACTGCATGTGTGTGTGAGTCTGGTTGACCGCACCTCTTCATACTTGTGAGGATTTCAAGCATAGAAGGAAGAACACTGAATACTTGAAAGTGGGAACATTTTAAATGTTTTGACCCGGGTTAGCAGCATTGTTGGATTGTTAGTAAGATAAATAACTGTAGGTTTGTTCACACTGTGGTTTAACACCTTCCCATTAGTCAGCCAGAACTGAGGTCCATTTTTATGGGCTCTTGACACTTTTAATGAGAGTTGCTAGACAGACAAACAGTTGCGCACAGTTTTCAATTCATGCCTCAGTGAAAGGTTTTAAAGGTTTAAGTCGTCTCCATGGTAACCAAAGACACCCTGCTTTTTTTATGGTCCGATTTTATTTCTCTCCTGTTTAGTGAAGGGTAAACCGCACAGAAAGCTGTTTAAACCAAACAAATATCCCGCTGTGTATGTGTTTTCAACTTATTAACTATATATTCATTGACTGATCAGCTCCCAGTCTGTGAGCGGCAGATTACCCTCACTCACTATGGTCAGGAATAAAATCAATGAATAATAATAAAAAAAAAAGATTTCCCCCAATGGTGCTGAAATTGAAAATATTTTGTTTCAGTAAATGTCTGCTGTCAACCTGGTGAAGGCAGTTGGGCCGGCTGTTGACCTCTCAGCTCTGCAGGAGCTGCTGCTGACAGACAGCTGCTTCTGTGGAGAGAGACGCTGGTGCAGTTTGAAGCTGGTGTGGATTGAAGTGAATCTCCATGGCAACAATAATAACACTACCAATCACACTGTGCGACAATATATGGGGCGGCAGTAGCTCGGTCCATAGGGACTTGGGTTGGGAACCGGAGGGTGGCCTGTTCGAGTCCACGTCCGGACCAAAATATGGAGCATGGACTGGTGGCTGGAGAGGGGCCAGTTCACCTGGGCACTGCCGAGGTGCCCTTGAGCAAGGCACCGAACCCCCCAACCGCTCGGGGCGCCTCACCAAGGGCAGCCCCCTCACTCTGACATCTCTCCACTTTGTGCATGTATAGGTCCTGTTTGTGCATGTGTGTGTCTTTCGGACCAGTGTGTAATAAAGTAACTTAACTTAAACTTATATTACATTGTTTGCAGCATAACAAAATTCTCCAGAGTTGCAACATGAAAAAACAAGTATCAAGTGACACTTTATTCCTATCAAAAATACATCGTTTCTGTCGAGCACCACTCATCAAAAGTGTCGAGCACCCATAAATCAGGTTTTTGAGACAAGGAATGCAGGGAGAGAGAAGAAGGTATGACATGCAAGAAAAATGTCTTCAGCTGGAATCGAAGATGTTGCATTTACATGGTATGTATCTTAACTACTGGGCCACCATATGACCTCTGCGATTGGTGACATGGTACATGAGAAGTTGGACATTGAAAATAAGTATCCCATATAGTGAGACATCACACTCAAACTCATCAGATAACTTGAGTTATGTGTGTGTTTTCCTGCATATCCCCTGCTTGTTGTCCAGCTGCTGTCCATGTCTGCATACATGTTTGTGTATAGGGTGTGTAGCACGAAAGTCATGTGTAAGCCAATCGAAGCCAATTAGCTACTGAGTCATGGCCTCAGAGTGCTTATATGTGTGCAGGTCGTGTCATTTATAATTACAAATTTCGGAAAAAATCTGTCTTTTTAATGTGAGGATTCAATAGAAGGGCAGACCGTCAAACACACATAACCCCATAATGCAAATGTAATTCCACCATAATTTACAGCTAGCTTCATTGTAACGTTTCAAGCTGTTATCTGACTCCAGATAAATAAGATCCCAGGTGGGCTTTCGCAGTAATGGTTCAAACTAGGCAGTAAGCTATAACTCACAGATCCTGGCTACAATACAATGATTCTGATGCCAGCCAACAAACCCCTGAATATGTTACATTACAGCTGTAGTACATGGTATTAATACATTAGTGCTGATAGGCTTTGAGGAATTCTTAGCAAAAACGCCTCAAATGTCAAGAAGACGAGCTCAAGTAGACTGGTTATGATGACAAATACAATAACAAATCACAGATAATACTTGAGGAAATTCTCTTTTGCTTGTAAGCCTGCGAGATGCCAGAGGGTGAGGTGAGCTTAATAACAAAGTGTATTCACCATGCTCGAGGACCCTCCAGCAAGAATGTAATTCACTGTCAGGAAGGAACTGAGTTAAGATGACTGAAAGACCCAACAATGCCACCATGACTTTAGCCTATGCTTTGAAAAAACAGCCAAACTAAAGCTTAATGTTGTATGTCAAGTCTATTCAAGAGTGGAGTTAAAAATAAAGTGCAAAACTGAACCAAGGTTAACTTTGTGCACGGACCTGTGATGGCTGAGGCAGGGGTAGTAGACTGTAATGACTAAAGGAATGAATGCGAGTCAATTAAATATCCACACGAGCACAAACAAAGCACCTCGTGTGTGCCTCCATTCAAAATTAAGTGTGCTCTCACCTGAAACACCACTCGTGATTTCTCCAGCAGATAAGTTCTCATGTTGGCGCCGATGATTCGGTAGCGGTTGTCGAAGCCGATCTCGATGTATTTCCCAAAACGACTGCTGTTGTCGTTTCGGGTGGTCTTTGCATTTCCAATGGCCTGAGAGACAAAAAGATAAAACAGGTTACGATGATGGTGTTTAAATAGGTATTAGGTTTAAATAGGTACACCATTTGGACTGCAATGTGTGTACAAACGGCAGCTCCAATTGAGAGACCACTGCTCACTCAGGAGACCATAAGGGAATCATTCCATTGGCGCAGCTGGTGATGCGTCATCTTTTGTCAGGGAGTATCTTTGGCTTAGCTTAGCTTAGCTTAGCACAAAGACTGGAAACAGGGGGAAACAACTAGCCTGGCTCTCCAATGTACAACACACCTAATCCTAAAATGAGTGCACCAGAACCTCACATAATGTAGCTTACAAGCTGAAATAGACAATTTGGGGTTGGTCCAAACTTTACAAATCAGTAGGATGTTTTAAAGGACTTCTGTCCTCCCACAGACAAGCGCTGGATGTGTCGATGGGCAAATCCTGCTGAGCTACAATACATCAGCAAATAAATCAACTTAAGTCAGCAGGCTTAGCTCAATATACAGGGTTGATCAATAACCCCACTAAGAATTGCCGGTAGAGGAATGGGGCTTCATACAAACACACACACACCCCCCAGCTATACAATCAGCCGACTTGAACTGAGTTAAATCGTGTGTGAACACAGAGGCTTCTTGCTGAATTAAGGTCAAACACACAGTCTTTCACCGCAGACAAGGAGTCTTTCAGCAGAGCAGGTATTCCAATCTCTGCCTGCATCAGCCAAACACATATAAACACCACGCACAAACACTCTCCCTCTGTCACGCACACACAGGTTTTGTAATATTGAAAAGGCTGATGCAACCATCTACTCTGCATCTAGGCTTAGAGGCTGAGATGACATCACTGCGACGAAAGAAAGCTTTCTATTCATTCTGTCAGCTTGTCTCTGATTGGCTCAAGGTGAAAGTAGTGGCTAGGAGGACAAGAGTGATGTTAGTAGAGAGGTTGGATAGGACGGAGAGGGTGGGGGATGGCAGGAGATGGAGGAGAGAAGGGGGTAGTGGCATATGGGCACAGGGGAGCTCTCCAACCCCTCCTATCCTCATGACTCTACAGGAGGAAATACAAAACACACACACATGGTTGAGGATAAGACCTGTGTTATAACAGCGGAGAGCAGCTCAAGGCCAGAAAGACAGAGTGTGGTGGAGAGACTGAAGGAAAGGGAGTAAGTAAATGCCAGTGGAGAAAAAAAGCACAAGAGTGAGACAAGAGGAGAAGGACAAACGGCATGACATTCAGCCCAAATCATTTGCAAATCAACTAAGCTTGTGAATATACTGTGGAGCAACTGGGCCAAGGAAAGGACACACAAACTGCCAGGAAATATGATGCAAGAATTTCACTTTGAAGACAAATTCACAGCTAAGGAACAGAGCTTTTCTCAGTCCTTTCCACCCACAACACATCTGATGTTAAGTGTTTTGACTTGTAATTTTAAGTACACGGTTTGTTTAAACTGGGGCGCCGAAAAGGGGGGGAAAAGGAGAAGGATTCTAGGGGCCTATGATTAAGAGGGGCCTAATAAAATTATAATACTGACAAAATAATATGACACTAAGTTATTAACTAACTTATAATCACAAATATATTTTATTTACAATGTACTGGTAACAATAACTTTATTTGTTTTGGAAACATTAACACCCCCCCTCTCTATTTACGTAAAATGGTTCAGTCCAACTGGATCAGCTGCACTGCGCCGGTAATTTGTCACAGACAGCGGGTAAGGAGGGGGAGACGGCAATATGCCTCAAAAATCAGGTAGCCAAAAACGGAAAGAAAGGAAGCTAAGAGAGGAGAAAGAAGCAAAGGGTCGACAGTATATCACCCAGTATTTCAAAAAGCAAAGTGGGCTTGTTAGTGGTTCATGTGGTGGAAAGTTATGGAAAATTAACTTTGTCCATGGTCTATAAGCTCAAATGTCAGATAAGAACAAAAAACAATACACACAAAAGATATAAAAGATGAATCTATTATTATGGAAAAGATTAATTAAAATAAATGAAATAAAAATCGTTCTGAACTTTTTTGTTTTGTTAAAATTCAGCTATCGCTGAAACAGAAGAATTGCAGTAGGAACAGAGGAGAAAATTTGTGATGTGTGTGAAATCAGAAGATTAAATAGATTAACGACCATATAGCCTCATATATGTATTTTTTCACCCCAAATCCAATGCCACCACCTGTGAGTCTACAGTTTTGGAGATAAATTAGACCAACAAGAGGGAGACAGTGAGCAGTAGGGGATTGTTAGTGAAAATCACATTTTCTTTTGTTAGTTTTGGTCAAATCACTGAAAGCAAACAAAATGGTGGGAGGCCACCTGAAACGGTGACTATGATGCTATTACAATAGTTAGGCTACATTATAGGAAATACTACATAATTTATGTATGTCACGTACACTCTACAGAGCCAGGTCCAGGATCCTCTTCAAGTTTTTCAGGGTGGAATGTGGAAGTGGAGGAAGAGATTGTTCTTTTCTCACAAATATGGGAATCATAGTCAAAAATACCATCAAAATGCTTGTTTTATGTAAAATAGCATAAAAAAATTTTGACGGCCTCACCGCCGGCTGTGTATAGGGCCCAGTAAAAATTCTTTTCATGGGGCCCAAAATCCCTGGCGGCGCTCCTGTGTTCAAAGCTGCATCAAGTGATTTCAGAGATTCAATGAGTGGAAAATCTATGAGTAATTCAAGATGGTGATTTTAAGTCTTCAGAGTTATTTTAGAAAAAATGCTGTCAAAAGGTTTGAAACATATTCATCATTTTATGATAAAAAAAAAATTCTAGGTTTGCATTGAATCTAGACTTTGGTGCCAGTTCTAACGAGGTAAATGGGGTGGACACAGTGAATCACACTATAACCCATCATATCTTTGTTGTTTCACCTTTGACTGAAACATTGTTCCACCAGATTAAGACACACATTACATGATGACTTTTGTTATCTAAATGCGTGCATTCATTTTCTTTGTTATTAGTCAATATCATGGCTCTGCCCAGCAGCTGCATCTTAAGCCCCTGCTGGATCCAAGATAGGTAAGGCTACCTGCTGTTGGCAGGTAGTATTGTAGGCTACATTTATTTGATTATCAGTTACTGACTAACTTTCAAACAGCTAATGATATTTACTAATGTTGAGGAGGGCTAACGTTAGCCAGCTCCACAATGTTTTCTAATATTATCATGAGGGGGCACTTATTGCCAAATTATTATAAATCTGGAATTTTGTCACTTACTGGTACTTGTTACTTTGTTTGTCAATGAACTACGTTAGCATTTGCACTTTGTTTAGCTAACGTTAGCCAGCTGGCAACCTACATTAATTGGGAGATAAAACTATTAATGGCAGTAAGAAATAATCCTTGCAAAGGTGTACAAGAAACAGACAGGGAGCTGAGATGTTGGTGAGTGATAGCAAATGTTACAGCCTCTCTACCTAAATCATTGTTAAGACGTGTGTGTTCTAGTTAATAGTATAAACTAACGTTGAATGACTATCACTAGTATGCATGTAAATCACTGAGGCAAACTGCAAGGCATTGTAACATATGGTCAAGTCCTAGTCTGGTGGATATTTTCATCTTGAGTCCAGCCAGAATAATAATTGGAGCCATTAATAACTTGATCTAGAAATGATTGTGGTGTGGTCAGTGATAACAGGTCGATCCAGCTCCATTTGGTCTGGATCGTGATATAGACTTGAGCAAACAGGAGCTTGAGCTGAGCTATATGCAGCTGACAGACAGACTCATGATCTGTTTGGACCAATAACAAAAAAACACACACACATGCTTTTAGATAAAAAAAAATTGGTGGAAGGGTTTTTTCAGTCAAAGCTGAAACAACAAAGATATGATGGATTATAGTGTGACTTGCTGTGCCCACCCCATTGACTACAATAGAAGTGGCACCACACTGTGGCCCGCTGTCACTGACGTCATGTCATTTCCTTCTTTTATAGTGTCCTTGAGCGTCAGTAAGAAACAGCTTCTCTTTAAGATAAAACTAGAAGTGATCTAAGGTCTTTCCAGTCCTCACCTCCATGATGGGGTTGGAAGCCAAGACTTTCTGCTCGACGTTGGCCTCGCTGGTGGAGCCGCTGACCGTAGCAAAGTATCTCATGGCGTATTTGGCTGATACTGTCTTTCCTGCTCCGGACTCCCCGCTCACAATGATCGACTGGTTCCTCTCATCCCTGACAGTTCAAACAAACAAACAAACAAAAAAAAAAAACAACTTTAGGAAACTCTGTATAGCACAGGTTAGTGTACTCGTAAAGAATTGAGGCCATGTAGAAAATTGTTGCCAGTCATGAGAAGTTAAGTGTTGGCTCTAATGGGCATAAGAGGGGTTTTAGTGTTACTTTAGTCAATGATGTTGAGAGTAAGGCTAAAAGTTAATGGTAACGGTTAATGGTTAATGGGAACCATGTTTTTTTTTTTTTGTTTTGTTTTTTTAACTGGTCCAGTACTGAGAAGGAGTACAGTTGCTGGCAGCCACAAAACAGTCTGTAATGTAACCACTTTGCACCCTCAATTTAAATCCACTTAAAGTGCTTGTTTTTGCCCCACAGAGATGACCTTGTTGTTAATGAGTAAGATCCTTTTCGTTTAACCACAAACAGACACAAAATTTCTATCACCAAAGCAACCAGACTCAATTTAAATAAACACACCTAGTTTGAAGTCGATAAAAACACAACAACTCACAAAAACCACCTGTGTTCATCTTTCAAATGTTCCAATTATAACCGGCTCTGGATTGGTTAAAATAAACCCTTAATTTAACAGATGTGAAAATATGCCAGCTCTAGACATACTAAAATTAATGTTTATTTAAATAGTCTGGTGGGTTTGTTGAAAGCGACTTCAAGGTGTTTCTGGTTAAACAAAAAGGATCTTTCTCTTTAACAAAAATGTCTATCAAGCAAAACTAGTACTTTTAGTGGATGTATATTGATGATGCACACTGCGGCAAGTTGTTAGACTGCAGTCTATTTGGTAGCTGTTGGCTGAAGCCCTCACGCTCAATACTGGACCAATATAAAAAATTGTTGTTCCCATAAGTCACTTTACACACAAACATGGCAAAATACCAGAGTTGCCCTTTAAGGGTGGTGACTGTGATGTGTACTGATTATGTGAAGTTTAATATTTAGAGAGTGACACAAACAATGCCCAAGTTAGTTCTTGGGCAGATAGAAAGTGTCAGATGCTGTCATCACCAAACATATTCAGTGCCTGCAGACAGAGCAGGTGTTAACACACCTTTTTAAGCCCTTTACGAAGTTACAATATTTGGTTAAATTTCCTCTCCCAGGTCTTCTTTGATTTTTTTGTGTCTTAGACTTTACAATTTTGGGAGGTTTTCCTTGTCTTCCTTGAGACCCTGGTCTGTGTGGGCGGTGTGAACTGTTGATGTTATGAGCATTTGATGCCTGTTGAGACCCTGTATGTCAAACTGGCCTATGTAAAGAAACTTTAGTCATGTTTCACAACAACAACTTGGGCTGAGTGTTTACCAGTGGCGTCACATGTGATGCCACGCATCAACAGTCCCTGACTCCGACTGGCTGGAACACAGATTACTAACTCAAATGATTCATCTCAGTATAGAAAGTATTACGGATTGCATACTTTTTATTTTAAACATTGAGTCATATGATGAGCAAAAAATATTAAAAAAAATAAAATATTACCTTCTCCTTAAGTCATTTATACTGGCTCCCTGACAGAAGGTGACTGCCTTTGCAGTTAAAGCACCCAGACTTTGAGAGAATCTTTTGCACACTGAGATTCAACAGGCTACATCTGTAACATCTTGAGATTATGAATAGAATCAATTGTGCAGCGTCATATTGGACATACTGAGAGGGTTACTGCTGACTACTGCCAGCTTCAACTAAAGCTGCCCTGCAGTAGTGAAGCAATGACGGTGGGAGATCTGAGTGCTAATTAAATTTGGTGTACAGTACTGTTAGTACACACGTGTAGGTTGATGATATAAACTCCCAGAGAGTGGCTTAAGAGATCTACTAGTTGGCTCCTGCAGAGAAAAGCAATATTAAAAGAGCAAAGAAGACAGAGGGAGACGGTGAGACCACCATGAGCCTATTTCTGGCTGAGCTTTGACCTACAAACCCAGAAGAGAGAGGGGGCTGTGCAACAAGGAGACTAAAGTCGAGGCTACTCAGGTAACACACACACAAACCTAGCCATCTGTTTATAAGCCTCCTCTGCCACAGCGAAGATATGTGGGTCCATGTCTCCCATGTTCTGACCGCTGTAGGCATTGATGATGTCCGTTCCGTAGATTGGCAGCGTCTCATACGGGTTGATGGCCACCAGAACGATTCCTATGACACAGAACATAAAGGGAAAGTATGAGCTCACCCGCAGCTGAATTGGACCACATTGAACAGGTAATACACTGAGATGCCTCTTTCCAAACTAGGAAGGTAGGTGTTGTACTTCATATACAGTAACCTATATACTGCATATTGTTCATTATCACATTTGAAGGTGTTGGAGCTCACACTGTTCTCAATAACTTAAACAGAGAGGAGGAACTTGCATGTATCCAGAAAGCAGATTTTATCACATATACATCAGGGGTGGGAATCTCTACGCACCTCACCATTCAATTCATATTCAGCAAGCTACAATGCCATAATAGAAATGATTATCAATGCATCTTGATGCATCAGTGTTTTTGATTTCTACACGATTTATTTTTTCCCACTGTGTGACTACTTGCTACTTTTAAATCATAGTGTGTATATATAATGATCCATAATTAACAGATTGATTGACTTGCATACAGTGTGGCTCTTATCCAGGTTCCTTTTCCAAGCCAAAGTGCTTCCATATGCTACAGCTTCTAAGCCAGGAGGTGCAAGTTTGGTTGCATCCACCTATGGTTGCTCACGTTCAGCCATTCTCCACAAAACTTAGTAAGTAGCCCATCTTAAAACATAAACATGATGCACATGTTTACATCCATTATGTTTCACTATCCAGTTGGTTCAGTTGTGAGGTACATAAAGCCTGGTCTAACAAAATTGTTACGGGTGGACATAATGTTTTCCTAATTTTCCTTATTTCGTATTTGTAGCAAATACGAAACTTTAAAATATAGTACCAGTGGAGATTCGGGGGTCTCAAGAGCAAAGTGACTATGACTCAAAAAAAAAAAAAAAAAAAAGATTAAAACTAAATGAAACATATGTCATACTGCATATTTATGCTCTTGAATGAAGGCTTGCTTTTTAGTTTTATCAATGAGTGTAGATCATGGATGTATAGAAAGAAATGGATACAGCATTGAAGGTGGGACCCCGTTCATTCTTACTAAAGCTGCTCAGTGGTGCAAGAAGCCTATAAAGTTGAACTGTCACATATAAAATCAAATGGATGATCGGAACTGCTTCCGCACTGTGTGGCTTACAGACGTCTCCTGACCAAGTTGGCTACTTCCAGTTTAGCGCTCCGCTAACTTGAGTGGGGATAAAATGATTCAATCGTATGTCTCTTCTAGACTTTCCAAAAGTTATCAGACTGAATGGTTTAAATCCTAATTGTGAAACGAGTCATTTCACCAGGGTTGTGACGCTCGCAAAAATGTATCCATTAATTTGCAGACATCACTTTTACATCTAAGTCAATAGGAAAAGTCTTTTTAGGCCGCAGGGCACTACGTGTTGGATGTAATTCCAACAGTTTGGCCGCTACAAAAATTGGCTTCAAAGCACGGTTCACTTCCTGGGGGCCTGGTGTAGACACAGTTGATACTAAAGCATACATCATTTTAAGTGTTGAATGGAGACAATAAACAATGCTTGATTTATAGTATGAATGCAACAAAGGTTATTGAAGGTCGCAGACATCATATCAGTGCTTAACTAATAAACTGTCAGACCATCCAGTTTCAGACATTACTCTGCTGATTAGCATGCCATAATGAGTGCAAAAAGATGAATGGGGTTTCTGTTGTTTTCAATGACTGAGCCATAAACACAATAGAAATCAATGCCAACCTCATGTGTTAAGTGTGTTGGAAAATTTTACAGATTGATAGTGAAATGTTTTCATGTTGTTTGATCAAACAGACATGTACAATATGAATACCTCTTTCACCTCTTGACTCAATCTCTGTATTTTTTCCTTATATTACCATTCATTACACCTTAGGTTGTTTGAAAGTATGAATTTATTCTGAAACACTGACAACATACATCAGAGCTTCATTAGACGGTTAATGTGCCACCTACCGCAGTAAGTGTAGATGAGCTTGGAGTCGATGAAGCGGACTTTGAGGTTGTGCAGCACGGCCGGCTCGTGGAGGTAGCTAAGTGCTGTGAGGTCATTCTCGCCCACCAAGATGTCGGGGTTTCGCAGGTAAGGCAGGTTCTTCGTCTTGGGGTCCAGTTTGTGTTCAATGTTCTGAAGATGACCAGGAGAACAGAGCAAAGAGAAAGTTAAAACAGAGTGTGCTGAATCGAACAAAGAACACAACACATTACGAGGAATTCATACATTTAAAAGAAAAGATGGTGAACCAGTCCAAATCTGGCCACAACCTGTGTTCATATCCTCTTACTTATTGTACATATTAAGATGATACTCTTTCCAGTTGTAATGTGTCATTATTCGTACTCATGTCTTCCACAGACCAGGTATTACATTAACTCACATTAAGCAGCTCAGTGCAAGAGCTGAGATTAAAATGTGTCTGAGGTGTCCTGACTTGTTTTTACTGCCAGCCGATAAGATGTAAGTACTTTCTGTGGCCATGGTCAAAATTCAACACGACTGTCGTGTTGATTTTCTCAAAACAAGTATCAGTCATCCTCACTATGCTAACAGAATACGTCCTATGTTTGTACTCACCAAATGAAGAGAGAGAAACATGCCTTTGTTTATTGCTTGAGCCAAAAGTGACAAGTATTTGGTTAAATCAAGTACTGTGATAAAATACATTGAGAGATTTCGTCAAGATGAACATCTGTGAGCTCCTTTACACTTTTGGCTGTTGCAGTTTTAAAGGTCTGGCTGCTTGCGGCTGACTAATAATCAATAACCACTTCCAATAAAAGTATTCATACAGTATTTCATGCATGTTCTCAAAAATGTCATGAGACAGGCTACTGATTTGGCACGGCTCTGGAGCAAAACCACCAGTCATTCAAAGCTGTATTGTATTAATGTTGTTTTCAGTTTGGTGCCTCTCTCTGCATGGAAACATTTGACTTTTGTTTTTTATTTCCCTTTTAAATGGATCATGTTCTTTTTCTGAAACTTGTTTGGTTTAATTCAGTTACAGAAAGTCTTTCTGCAAACAACATCAAGAATAAATTAGATTATTGTACTGCTTGTCTGACTAATTGAGAGCATTATTTTTCAAGAGCAGCCAACAACACAGAGGGCACTCCGAGAGGTCATGACTCCATCAAGGCTGCACAATCATCTAAACTAAGCACAAAAAGTAAGGAAATTTGTGTTTGGTAGATTATTTCTTTGTTGTAACAATGCCTCTTGGCAATAAATCTTATACCATTGGAAAGCCTGTTTATTTCCCTTTTAAATGGTGCCACATTTGTAAGAAACATGCATTTGTGGGATGAGCAGCAGAGCTGAGTATGTGGGTTGCGCCCATGAAAAATCTGCCAAATCTTCTCTGCCATGCCAAACAGCTTTTTTTTTTTGCTGTTGACTCTCGTTTGGTGTTGTTTGGTGGATTGGATGATTGAAGTCTGAAGACAAAAGACATATTGGCAATTTAACAATATATCCATTTAAGAAACAGGAGCATCAGTAGAGTGTAGAAGAACCATACACAGCCACAACAGCCTGGCACCTCCTCCTCATGCTGGTCAGCAGCCTGGTCACACACTGCTGTGGGATGGCATCCCATTCTTGAACCAGCATTTGTCGCGAGTCATCCAACGTGGTTGTGTTGGTCACTATGGCAGGAACAGCACACCCAAGCTGATCCTACAAGTGTTCAATAGGGTTGAGGTCAGGACTGCTGGCTGGCCATTCCATCCTCTCCACTCCCAAATTCTGGAGGTAGTCTCTCGTAAACCCTGCTCTGTGGGGGCGAGCGTTGTTATCTTGGAGGATAGAGTTCAGTCCCAGACTGTGGAGATATGGGATTGCCACTAGTTGCAGAATTTAATCTCGATATCTCTCTGCATTGAGACTGCCTCCAATGATGACAAGCCTTGTTTTTCCAGTGAGGGATCAACATGTGGGGCCCCACACCATCACACTGCCTCCACCAAAAGATGTTACTCTATCAGTGCAGCAATCAGCAAAGCATTTTGCGCATCTTCTCCACACTTTGACCCTATGATCCAACTGCAGTAGGCAGAATCTGAACTCATCTCTGAACATAATGTTCCTCCCCATTGTCAGTAGTACCTGACAATCAGGTACCTGATTGCTGACAATCAGGTACCTGATTGTCAGCAATCAGGTATCTGACCTGATTGTCAGCACCTGGGGGTACCAGAAGCTCAAAACAAGAGTCAAGAGCAACAGCAAAAAAAAAAAGCTGTTTGGCATTGGCAGAGAAGATATGGCAAATTTCATGGGCGCAACCCACATACTCAGCTCTGCTGCTCATCCCACAAATTCATTTTCCTGACAAATGTGGCACCATTTGAAAGGGAAATAAACAGGCTTTCCAATGTTCTAAAATATATTGCCCACAGCTCTGCAAGTAAAATTACTGTTTTTGTCTGGCTTTAAAGGGATAGTTCGGGTTTTTGGACATGAAGTTGTGTGAAACGCTGACCATCTGTAGCTCTGATGCTCTACTGTCAACGAGCCTCCTGCTCTGAGAAATGGCCCGTAGCTTACCGGAGAAAAAGTAGTTCTGAAAATGTACGGGGGACACGTAACCAAAAGGTTTTAAGCTACAAAAAAGTATGCATGTGTTTTGTTAGACTATTTCAATAATTTTAAAACATCCCCGCATTACAGTATCACTCTGCCGTGCAGGCCCGCAAGACAGCACGCCAACAGAAATCAATTAGACAGTTCATCACCACGCCGTGCAGGTGGGCAGGATAGCAACGGCTAACGAAAACTTCATTGGCTGTTTCCAACAGAGAACCAGTAGGCTATTATTAGTGAGGCGGAGTGATACTGGCCTGAAAATAGCCCCAATTGATAGCAAGGTCTGATGTAATGCGGGGATGTTTTAAAATTATTGAAATAGTCTAACAAAACACATGCATACTTTTTTGTAGCTTAAAACCTTTTGGTTACGTGTCCCCCGTACATCTTCAGAACTACTTTTTCTCCGGTAAGCTACGGGCCATTTCTCAGAGCAGGAGGCTCGTTGACAGTAGTGACACTGTCACATCAGAGCTACAGATGGTCAGCGTTTCACACAACTTCATGTCCAAAAACCCGAACTATCCCTTTAAAGAGAGTATAGATAGGTTTAACTTCTAGTTCAGTTCCCTGACAGAAAGGGACGTGTCTGGATAAATGGGACTCGGATTATACTGCACGAGCTGTGTGAGAGTTTGAAAACAGATGTTTTGACATTGTTTTGCTGTTGTTTTACGTGGCCACATGACTTCAATTCATCAAGAATTTTCAGATTTGGGTTTTTTGTTCACCGTGGAGGCACATGAGAATAACAAAGCATCCTTCACAAATATGATGTAACATGCAAGGAGTAACTGATACACACATAATCATTTGAGGATTGAAATATTCCTTTCAACAGCCAGAACCACAAACATACAGTAACCGCCTTGATGTTGCCAGTTACATTTACATATGATTAAGAGCAATATGGCAAATGGTCTTCGCATTCTTTCATTAACAGGAGTGCTGTTGCCTGGAAGCTGTTTGTATTCCTAGATGAGGATTTGAATTTACTGCTATACATTTAAAATGCTCCTTGGGGGCATCTTTGTGAGCAGGTCTCATTTGTGGAAAGAGCTAATGGTAAAACCAATAACCACTAATGAGACCCAGCAGCACTTTGAAGTGTCTTTGAGGCAGAGAGAGAGAAACAGAGGATGCAACAAGAAGAGCTGAGAGAAGAAAAATATGAACCTCTATTCATCCTCACCTTTCCATCCTCCAGCATAAGCTGCAGGGAGGCGTCCCCATTTTTGTAGTCCTTGGTCAGCTCAGCAGACTTCCACACTTCCTCTGCATCGGGGATCCACACCCGAGCACACTGAGACAGGGAGACAGAAAAAAGAAAGAAAAGTTAAATAAAGACGCAGGGCTGCCTCCTGAAAGTCAGAGATTCAAATCTTCAATCAGAGCCCCCTCAGTTGACTGAGATTCCTTTAAGCATTTTTTTTTCTCTTGTCAGTCAGTGTGCAGTGTACATCTAGAAATGTCTTGCTCCCCAGATTTAGCTGCAGAGAGAGCTCTCCCTCCTTCATGCTGCCCTTTGGTACAGGCAGCTGCGGACACAGAGTCAGCTGCCCACAGGAAGAGAGACTTCACCCGGTCATGCTTTGAGATAACATTATCTTCTGCCTTCTGCTTAGAAGTGGGGAATTTATAGCTCACAGCTACTTAATACAATACAGACATTAGCTTTATATGATATCTAAAATGTTGTTGCACATTTCCAAACTGTTGTTAGCATAGTTAGCTTGCTAGTTTACTGTATTATGTAAGTGTCACTGTCACATTGAACATTTCACTGAACCCTGTTAAACTCTATATGGGGAAAAAATGAATGAATATTCGAATATTTGTACTCCACAGCCAAATCCAATTCAGCTAGCATAATTATTAGTCGGGTACAGCCCTATAAAGACGTGTCATAGCACTTGAGGAATACAAATTATGTCAAGAGTCAGAGTTGCTGACATTTTATATTACCATTCAAAACATATATTTTCAAGACTTTGATGCCTTCTATTCATTTTGGCTCTGTATATACACTGACAACATTATGATATCTTTTGAAATTGCCTCATTTTTAACTTATTTAAAAAAAATCAGAAGAGTCCCTGTGTAATAAACCCACTTTACCCTGTTTTTCATGTAGGCTGGTGTAGCGCTGGGCGATTCAGAGAAAATCACATTTTTGACCAAATACCTCCACATCTATAATGTGACAATATTGTAGGATTGACTATTGGTGCCTTTACAAAATATTTACACAATGAGGTTTTTGATAGATAATCATCAGTAATATGGATATAAAGAACAGCTAAAACAGTCTGGTAAGTTCGTATTGTCCTGCCCTAGGCTGAAGAAATGTTATTTTGTAGATATTAGTGATAGTGACTCATGTTTGTGCCACCTCAGTTAAACTAAAACCTTTTAAAAAATGGATGACTGTCAAGTCTACTTCCTTTCTACTGATTGTTAAAGCAGTATGACCTCAGAGAAAACACTGGGTTCTATGTTTTCACAGTCATGAGCACATGGCTCGTAATGGCAAGTTAAGTGTGGGAAACCACTGCTGAACAAAAAGAGGCTCATAACCACTGAGGAATGCAGTTGTGGATATCGTGCGGTCAAAATTTAAAATTCACATACACGTACCCACAGAGCCAAGTTCAATATTAAACTGTTTCAGGCCTTACAGACTTGTGACTGGAGGCAATCAGCTGATCACAGACATGTGGAAACACAGTGATGAACACTGGCAGTCACATGGCTGAGGAATCCAGCTCACAAATGTAGGCACATGCGCGCGTGCGCACACACACACACACACACACACACACACACACACACACAGAAGCTGAACTCCTAATGGTGAAGGAGTTTGCTGGTTGACTGTGCAGTGACTGGAGAATTGAGAAAACCACAAAACCTTAAAAACCCAGACAGACGAGACCCTGCAGTGTGTGGATGTGTGTCTGCGGGCTGCGGGAATGAAGACAGAAATCAGTGGTCAAACAACACAGAGGTTGTTTATCTTACTGTGCATTTGATATTACATAAAGGGGAAAGATGAGAGGAAATTAAGTTAAGATGTTCAAACAACAGATTATGGTGGGGTTTGTATTCCAGTAGCGTTTCATCCACTTTAAGAGGACCAATCACGCTCATTGTCAGGTTCATACGTTGACCAAACGTGAGTTGAACCGAAAGGTCATTGGTCAGCAAGATTTCATTGGTCACAAAAAAACCCCAACAACACAAAAACAAAACAGAAAAAAAAAAAAACAAACGCAAAACTCTATTAGGAGCTGTGCCTTGTCAAAATAAATCAAAACCTATATGACTTAACCATGTGGGAATTTAATTTGTAAGGACAGGCACAGGAAGTGGCCACGCTCAGCAGTCAGACAGGAGTCACGTTAATTTACAGGGCTGGTACCTGCGGTTATTACACAGGCGAGTTATTACCATAACAGGCAGGAAATCCAAAGTGTGGGATCATTTTGAAAAGGTGAAGGACGAACCCAAGGTGATATGTAAACTCATCTTCATTCGTCGACTACAAACATGACGTATCATCTTAAACATGTAAGTAGCTACATGCCCATTAGCCACTGTAGCAATGTAGCAAAGTGTTAACAATGTCACTGATACTATTCTTTGTCAGACCATTAACTCAAACCATTGTGTTGCCCTGCCAAAAATTATAATTTAATTATTAAATTAATATCGCAAAAATGCGGGTGACTAGTCAACCAAACTAGAGAAATTCTTAGTTGGGGGCAGCCCCATATGTTGACATGCTTTAATGTTCAAAAAACACTTTATTTTCCTCATACTGTGATGAATTAACTCTCTGATGGAGATGCTTCATTTGAGCACCTGTCTCTTTAAAACCCCCTCCCGAAAAAGCTCAGTCTGCTGTGATTGGTCATGTTTCCGGGCCTTCCACATTTTGGTGTCTCTGCAGCGACACTGCAGCAGAGGAGTAACTGTAACAGAGTATAGCGGCACTTTGTACCATGATAAATAACCAATAATTGCTTATTTTCACAGCCAGACACGTTCAAGTAGAAATATGATCTGAAACTGGGGAGAAATGACCAACATCATCAGCCAAGATGGCGTATTTTTTTAACTTTCTAGCATGTAGGTGCAGATGAACATATGAAGAAATCTGTCTCCAGCTAACATTGGAAACAGAGTATTCAGGACAGTCTGAAGCCAGAGACTTTTGCTCACAGAGATTACTTTTACATCCGTTTATCTCATTATTTGAAACTTTGGCCACGTTTAGTACCCACATATGACATTGTGACATTATGTATGTGACAGAAAATAAGGAAAAGATGCCCCTTAACCTGATATTCATGTGTTGCTCTCAAAACAATCAGATCAGATCTGATAAAATATATTCCTCCTCATCTTTTTGCCCTGGTTAAAGCATTATTCAGGACAGAGTAGAGAGACTTAAAAACAAACCCACATTCACACACATACCGCCACAAATCACCACAGGATTTAGACACTAAAACCTTTAAGTGTTGTAATCTCAACATGAGTGAGGATTTTCACTTTGCTGAGACTCTCTGACTCTTTAAATACAAGAGAATTACAAACACACAGTGAACTACTAATAGAGGAGTGAGTCAATGACACTTTTGATACTTTCAGAGGACTTGGGGGAGTCTTTCTGGAAATCCATCCAATCCAAAACATCAATTTCATGGCTTTGCTGCATAAACTGCTGACAGCGGTTTTAAAGATGTGAGAGTGAAAGAGCTCACTGTAGAAGGGCACAGTGAGGGAGAATCTGGTTAATTTGGTCTGCTGCTTCACCACCGATCATCTGAATCATGACATCATGGTCACACAAACCCTCGCCCTCCCTCTCTCTGTCTGCCTCTTGCTCTTTGTATTAGGAAGAGCAGTGGTGTGAAATGACAGCCAAGCCTCTCCAAGAATGACAGAGTTTAATGAAATTAAGTGTTTTCCATACTGATACCCCAATATTACTTTTTTAAACTTAGCATCATCAAAAGAATGTATCATGTATTTGTCAGAGACATTCAGTGTCTGACTTACACAGAGACTTACTGAATGTGTTCAAAGGCGTTATACAAGTGTTTAAAACTCCACCCCCACAAAGCCCCCAGGTTGTCCCATTTTTGTCCTTTCTTTAATCCTGTTCTCTCTCCACCCCTGCAGGAACACCAATCTGTGAGATCAGTGTGGTTAGGTAGTGTGCCATGTGGTTAAGGTTTGCTGTTGAGTGACAGTTAAAAAAGAAGCAATAGGTCTACAATCTATTCAAGTCTGAGGCCAAGGTTAATAAAAACAAAACAACCAAAATCTGAAAAACTGAAAAATAAATGAAGAAATAAGGAACAACTGAGGTCAGAAAAGTCAGACAAGCTTTACTAAAAGAAACAACACTGGTTCTGTTTAGCTGGGTGCAGCAGTGTTTATTAGATAGTTTCTGGATGTCTGGCAGTAAAGCATCAAGAAGACAACAGCCAAGGACTACAGTATGTGATGGAAGGATATATTCACGACGTTGACTTTCATGAACAAAGTGACACTAGTTGATGCTCCCCTCTTTATGAAAAAGAGAGAGGTAGAGAGTGAGGATGACAAGATTATCAAGATGCTGCTGCACTGCCAGGTATGTGTCCATTTTTCACCCTCTGGGTATAAAAAAAGGTTTTAAGTTACACATATATATGGGCGGACTCCTTTGAGTGACAGGCCGTCTGCTGATAGTGTCCTCGGCTTCTCAGTCACATCCACAGCACCAGCCTCTTGCTCAGTTATGGCCACTTCTGGCTCCAAAACACCAAGATGGCAATGACCATAATGCCAAACTCGAGGCTTCAAAACAGGAGTCCACAAACTGATGGGTGACGTCATGGTAGCTACGTCTATTATTTTTACAGTCTGTAATAATAATAATAATAATAATAATACATTTTATTTAAAAGCGCCTTTCTCAACACTCAAGGACACTTACAGAGCATTAAAAACACAATTAAAATCACAATTAAAATAAATAAAAATAACAGACAAGAGTGACACAAAGTAAAAATGGATGTGGGCAATAGTAGAGTAGTAGTAGTAGTAGTAGTAGTAGTAGTAGTAGTAGTAGAGACCATGGTGCTCACCTAATGTTAGTCTTGATTTGATGAGGAAAGTTATGTTAGTTACTTTTGGGTAGTATATAGACTTGCAGATTTAATGTAAACAAAGGAACTAACGATAATTCATGTCATCTTAAAAATATGTCAGCAACCAACCCATCAGTCCTTTTCCAAATATTTTAAA